CATTATGGTAATTGACTTGTTGAATATGTGATGAGGGGATGAATTCCAATTCCATCTGCAATATTAAACACATGATCAGCCCACTGAATACCGCCCTAAATTCATGGTTTTGGTATGGGTTACCTTCTCAATACATTTATTTATTTATTTATTTTAATATTCACTCTACTTGTATTTTTTGTTTAATACTTGTCGGTTTATATAATATTGGATTCTCAGTTTTAATATAATTGTACATCACCCCGTAAATTTCTATCTTTTGTATTTTACCCCTCAAAATTTTTAAAAGTGAATGTACAAAATGTTATTCTTGTTGCGCATTGTCCCGATAGCAAAATTGAGTATTTTTATTTCATGTTGACCATTTAAATGTTATTTTTGTTGTACATTGCCGCTTACAAACACTATTTTTCTGCAAGTTGACCCTTCAAAATGTTATTTATGTTGCACATGCCCTCCAAAAATTGGCTTCTAGAGCATAGTGCACCAAATATAATAATTCAAGGGGGATTATCCCTTTTTTGATTTTTTTTGAGGGGAAAATGCGAAAGTAAAAAGTGTATGGGGCTGAAGTGCATTTTGTCAAAAAAAATTACTCCATGTAAATAAGATAAATTATTATTATAATAAAATTAGAATATAAACCGAATAAAATAACAAAAAAAATGATTTTTTTTGGAAATTGCAAGTGCCCCTCCAATCCCCACACGTCTATCTCTATGGAGTGTGTGTGTGTGTGTGTGTGTGTGTGTGTATATATATATATATATATATATATATATATATCTTCTTGCTTCTTGTATGACAATTCTATCCTCTCTCTTGTTCCCAGGCCGGCAGCAATGAAGATCCGATCTTGGCTATCAACATGCTCCTCAACCACCAGCATCCCCATCTCCGGCGACCCTTCCGCCCCATCTCCGCCACGAAAACACTACCCTCCGCCAAAATCTCTAGTTTCCGACGACACCAGCAGCTGCTTCTCCGATACCCAGACATCATCATCAACCAGCATCCAAAGCAATCTCTCCCTACTAACCCTCCCCTCAGTCCCTTCTCTCCAGAAACTCGCATTCTCCCCCGGCCAAACCGCCGCCGCGAATTCCTCCTCCTCCGCCGCCGCCACTCCGCTCGCCAGCCTCAACAACCCCAGCGGCGGCCGCGCCGCCCACGTCAATTTCATTGCCCTCCACAACAACCTCCTCTACGCCGCCTCGGGGAACGAAATCAACGTCTACGAGACAATAAACAACACCCTCTTCGACACGTTCAACGCCGGCAAACCCTCCGCCGGCGCCGTCAAATCCATAGCCTTCAGCGACGGCGGCAGGATCTTCACCGCCCACCAGGACTGCAAAATCCGCGTCTGGAAACTGAACGATCAGAAGCAGCACAAACTCGTCGCCGCCCTCCCCACCGTCGAGGACCGCCTGAGAAGATTCCTCCTCCCTCAGAACTACGTCAGCGTCCGCCGCCACAAGAAGAAGCTCTGGATCCAGCACCACGACGCCGTCTCGGCACTCTCCGCCGGCCACCAAAACGACGTCGTTTCGGTGTCGTGGGACAGAAGCATCAAAATCTGGCAATCAAATAACTTGCGGTGCCAGCAGTCGATCAACAAAGCCCACGACGACGCCATCAACGCGGCGGCGGTATCGAGAGACGGGTTGATATACACCGGCTCCGCCGATAAGCGAATTAGGGTTTGGAAAAGGGAGGATAAAAAGTACGGATTAATAGCCACATTGGAGAAGCACAAATCGGCGGTGAATGCATTAGCGCTGAGTTCCGACGGGTCGGTTTTATTTTCCGGGTCGTGTGACCGGTCCATTTTGGTTTGGGATAGAGAAGACAGTGCTAACCATATGGCGGTTACCGGAGCGCTGAGGGGCCATGCAAAGGCGATACTGTGTTTGATCAACGTTCGAGATTTGCTTTTGAGCGGGTCGGGTGATCGGACGGTCAGGATTTGGCGGCGAGGGGTTGACGGGATGTACTCTTGTTTGAATGTGTTGGATGGGCATCGGACGCCGGTGAGGTCGTTGGCGGCGTTGGTGGTGGAGGAGACGGCGGCAGACGGCGGAGGGGTGGTGAAGGTGTTTAGTGGAAGCTTTGATGGGGAGATTAAAGTGTGGCAAGTTGAAGTGGTGAATCATTTAATTTCTTGATTTTTTTTTTACATTTTTTTTTGTGTGTTTGTGATTAATTTAGGTTTTTGATTTAATTAATTAGATGTGATATTTGTTGATTGTTAATCTTGGTTACATTTGATTCGATTTCAGTCTGCTAAATGTGTATAGAATCTAAATTACATTCTCTATCTCTAAATATATTTTGACTCACAGAAGAATGAAATATATGTCAGATCCACAATTTTCATTTTATTCCTCAAACACAGAATATTGACTCTCTCTCTCTCTCTCTCTCTCTCTCTCTCTCTCTCTCTCTCTCTCCCGCTCTCACTCCCTATATGTCTCTCTCTCTCTCATGCTTCATTTAATATTTTTCATGCCTTGATATCACCGATTTTACTATGTATTCACACATTATTATAAAAAGATAATTAAATCTTTAATTCAATGTATATCCTACCTAATTACATTTTAAGGTTGGTAACGATGGACTTAAGTCAACTACTTAAAAGCTTAATATAGACCCAAAAATATAAATCATAATGCGCCCATAATATTTCAAAATCCTCAAGCTCAAGGTTATTATTATTATTATTATTATTATTATTATTATTATTATTATTATTATTATTAAACAAGCAAACACCAACAGATTTCAACCATAGATCTGATTAAATAATTACACACTAAACACACATCACATGAATGTGTGTAATTATGTGTTGATCAACAATTTAAATTCGTCGGATGTTAATGTATTTAATCAGGTATAACATTTAATTACCTATAAACCTCAGGTTGTGATTTCAACGCAAATTGCGGTAGTCGGCCAAACCATGTACAATGTGGCGGGAATAATTAATTGTAATTGTAATTAATTAATTAATTAATGAGGGAATCAAAGTTAATCAAAGGTCATCAATAAACGCCAAAATTAACAAAACCAGTAAGCACGTGATAATTCGCAATTAACTTTTTGATTGCCCTAAAATTGACAAATAAAAAGATCATGGACCAAAAATGTGAAGACAAATTGAAGCTTTTATCAATCGTTTTAATTAGCTGTACTTGTTTAATTACTCAATTATATGTTGATTAAGCACGTTCACTCCTGAAACTAACTTTTGGTTTATCCTATCTTAATTATATTCCAAATCTTGTTTTTCTTGTCCATTTCTGAAAATTTTCAATAATTAATAAAACACTGCAAAAGCAATAATATTCTGGCAAAAATTAAAACTCCTTTACTGTGAGGTTTTTGGAAGTAATTGACAGTTTTAATTATGTATTTATGAAATCGATGCATATTTTATACTCTTAATAATATTTTTAATTTTTGGTACATACAAAATATAGGACACGCCAATTGAGTTGAACCTAACCGAAGCTCGATGGCTCGACCCGACTATATTTGAGTCGAACCTAATTTTTAGTAAGCCGGACCGAGTTTGAAATATTATATTAAACTCAATTCATTTATGAGCCGAGTTTGAGCATAATATGACTCAACTCCAAAAAGGCTCGTCCAATTAAGTTACTAATTAAATAAATTACATCCCTATTAGGTCATATAATTAGTTAAGGATGAAACATTTGAAACATTAAACTTCATTGTTTCAAGGAACATACTATGGTTCATATTATTTTGCGAGTAACACATTTATATCGTTGTGCTCTTCATAAATATTATAGATAGTGCTCTTCGACCGTGAAGAACTTTTTTTTTTAACACGTTCTGCTGCAAAGATGTTTAACATGTAATTTATATATATATATATATATATATATATATATATATATATATATATATATATATATATATATATATATATATATATAAATTCTAAAAATTACATGAACCAAATTTGAACCTATAATAATGCGGTCCGCTTGTATATGAACTTAACTTGAGCCTGTAGTAACAAGGTTCAAATACGAGCTTGAATCAAACTCGACTCATATAAAAAAAACAATTATAAAATTATATATACATATATATATATATATATATAATGTAAACCGCAAGTGGATATGGGTGGGATAGCTGTTGAGCATAAATTCGTCAAAGCAAATTGTCGAAAAAAAGGCACAAAAGAGATATGAAGGGTATGGTTCGAATGTAATGTCTTTTTCTCAACCAAAAAATAAATAAACTGTGTAAGAATCTAAAGTTTACCAAATGAATGGTGGCAGAATAACTTATCAGAACCAAAAAAAAAAAAAAAAAAAAAAATGAAGACAGTAGTTTTTGGCAGTTTTTAAGGTACCCATGCTCCTAAAGTTGATGGCAAAAACGTAAAAATAAAAAAATAAATAACACCATTGAAAAAAAAATTGAATAATTGTTTTACTTTTTTGGCAAGTTGGCAAGTTGAATTAATTTGAAGTTTATTTAATTTGAGCACAATACATACATATATACATACAGATGATGAGTAATTATTAACTATTCATCTACTTTAGCTAGTTTTTGCGTAGAGTGTGCCCTTGTTGAACTTGTGGTCACCATTTTAATCACTTTCTCCATTAATTCCCTCTCCCACTCTACTATGATAGTATATATTTAAATCGGGTTCAAATTTCGATCGGACAACCTGTTTTAATAAGAAAATCGGATTAGGATAATTGACACCTGGATAGTCTAAATAAAAATATAATTAATATTCTAATAATTGGAAAAAAAAAACCAGCATAACCTGTTATAATCAATCTAACCCTAATTATAATAAGTGTGATTTATTAAGAGTTAAGACTTGAGAGTGTCACATGTCAAAAAAAATAGTAGAATCCGATTTATATTAAATATCGGCTGATCCGCTCAGAATTTAATCTCATTTAAATTATTAAAACATTATTTCTCACAATTAAAACAAATAATTAATTGAGACATACAATTTTCAATCAAATGTTGTTATAAAATTATAAATTATTCTAAATCCAATAATTAATGTTAGATAATTTTATTACTATTACTTTAGGTCTTTGACTTTAGTGTGTATTGAATTCGTTGTTGTGTACACAAGTAGGGTAACATGTTCTCATGCCTTTAATAAAATCAAACGTTGCTTTAGCGGATGAACCCACATTATTTTATTAATTCCATTTAATTTCTTTATATATACTTCGGTAACAACAGTATAATTACACAAATAAAATAAAAAAGGGTATTAGTAAAATTGAAACAACTATTATTGTGAATGTCAAACTAAACCATCAAAATTAATAACTAATTAAATACAATTAGAGTACAACTAGTACTAGTGTAAATCTTAAACTAGACCCATCAAAAGATTGTCTGATAAATCAATGCATGAGCCACGTATTAGTGATGTATGCATGATAAACAAAAATTATAGACATCTCGTACTAAACTATAATATATTATTAACAAACGTACTATTATTTATAATGATAAACAAGCATGTAATTAATAATAAAATCAATTTGGACATAAAATATATATTATGTCATGTCAAGAAACACTAATTGACCCTACGATCGTGATTATTGACATACACACAGTACACACACTGTGGCACAAAAAGAAAATGGTGAGGCTTAATGTGAACGAAGCTTTTCTATAGCAATATTTTATGTGCATGCCACTCACGTAATTATCAAGGGGTAATTTAATTTACGTCCATCTTTGAAGTAAGGTCAAATTACGAAAAAATCTTTTTTTTTTTTGAGTAATTACAACCAACCCCTTAATTATTGTATTGTTTTACGAAAAAACCTCATCTTCAGTAGATGCGTAACAAGAGTTGATGTGCAAGACATGCTGTATAGTTGATGGAATTGTTGTATTTACTAAAAATTGAGGGATTTTTTCGTAATTTATTATTACTTTAGATATAGTCGTAAATTACCCATACTATAGTGTTGACTTAAGGACAATGGGAAACAGGCAAAATAAATCAGTTATGATTAATGCTTGCTAGCTAGCTAGCCATATATAGTCTCCCATCTCTCAATTGTTTTGGTATTTATGTGCACTAATTCTAATTTTGAATTCTTTTATATATATATATATAGACACAACCAGCAAGTTGGCAGAAGAAACAAAGTAAATGGAAAGAAGAATATGTATGGATGATGATGCGAATCTTGACATAAGAGTATGAAGTTTGATGGATCTCCTACCGCTACATTGTTTTTATATACTACTATAGTCTATCTTCTTATGAATTTAATTTGACTAAATAAAAATATTAACTAGTAATCTATAAATATTAAACTCACAAAAGGATTAAAGTACTCTTACTTTATTAAATTAAATATACAAAATATCTTTAAATTAAAAAAAAATTATTCACCGGTAGAAAATTTAAAAAATGGGTTTGGCCCAATTAGACCCATGTAGATTATTAGTTCGGGCCCAACTAGGACCAGCTTAATTAGCCTTGGCCCGTTTGATAGCCTTGCAGTTTAAATTGGACTTCGCTCTCTAGGGTTAAGGGTATACAGAAGAAAACCCTTGTTTACCAATTTTTTTAATTTTTATACATAATATTAAGACAAGTTTTAAGGTTATTGATATTTATAGGGCCCAACACAATAGAGTTGGACCACACACGAAAGAGGAGATAAAACCACATGGGATTCGGGCTTACTTTCCCATTTCATCGGACTTCGATAAATGGCCCAAAACATTGAGCCCTTAAGGTAAGACCCAAAGAATAGACATTGTGAGTGAATGACAAGCTTGGGGACCTCCGACGAGCAAGAGACCAGAGATCTCTCCGACGAGCTAGGAGACCTCTAACTATAGCTGACAAGTGACGAACGCCGAGTGAGGAGTGCCGCACGAATAGTAGTTGACCGGTGCCGAGCACCGAGTGTCAAGTGACGAGTGAAAAGCTGGCAAGTGCCGAGTGTCGAGCGACGAGTTGCCGAGTACCGAGCGCCGAGTGATGAATGACGAGCTGAAGGTGGCACCTCATGACTTAAACACCAAGACATATGAAATATCTTCATAACTTAACCACTAAGACTCATAAAGTGCCATGGACATCAAACGACTCTATTAACCGAATTTGATAAAAGGAGTGACATTCGAAAATCCTCTTCTGTAATTAGAGGTAACCCTCAAGGTAAGCATTCTTGATCTTGACACACCATTTTCTCTCGAATGTATTTCTCTCCGAATCTTTGAGGTGTTCTAACTTGGACGTCGGAGCGCTAAAGCCGGGAGCACCTCTCCCAGTCCCTTTTGCAGGTCCAAGACGAACAAACCTAACATGGAACGAACATGAAGATTCGAGATTCCTCGAAACGAAAAACCCAACCACATTAGTTATTATTTCTCTCTTGAGTACTAAATTATGTGAACAAAGATCAAGAAAATTAAACACACCAACAGACAACCACTTTTATTCATAAATATAAATATAGCAACAACATTACATTCATCATATATCCAGCTGGCACAGCCTCAGCTGGTACGTACGGAAAAAACAACAACAAACACGTGCAAATTTATTTCAACCACATGCATAATTAATAATAATAATACTCCATATATATATCTCAGTCAGTGCAGCAGCTGTAAAGGACAAACTTGTCCATAGTCTTGCCGCACTCGGAGCAAACCACCCTCTCCGAGATCTGCCCGTCACTCGCCGGCAGGATGAGGCGCGTGCAGTGGTGCTCCGGGTGGAAGCCCTGCAGCTCCTCGTCGAGCGCCCGGACGAACCGGTCGGGGCGGTCGACCTTGTAGGCCCACTGGGCGTAGTTGTCGAGAACCGGCATGAGCTTCTCGGCGTTGCCCTTGGTGATATCACGGTTGCTCCAGCTGAACGCCGCCCAGCCCTGGTGGTTGCTGCTGTCGTAGGCGAGCACGTCGAGTATCTCGCGCATGATGACGTCATTCTCCACCGTCATCCCGATCTTCTTCCTGGAGTTCCACAGGCCCCACAGCCTCACCCAGAAGAACCAGACGTAGTCGTAGTAGTCGTCGCCGGCGGCGAACACGTTGCTCAGCCTCTCCTTCGCGATGGTCTCGTTGCAGCTCCGGACTTTCTCCTTAGGGTTTCGCTTCCCCACGTACAGCATTTCCAGTGGCACGTGCAGGGCTTCTGCCACTTCCCGCGCTTTTCGGGTGAAGTTCCGGATCCACTGTATGTCCTCCCCACCGTATAGACATATCACCTTGTTTTCTTCCACCTGCCAATTATTTTTATATAAATATATGTTATAATTACATATTTTGTTGCTGTTATCCGAATATTTTCTGATTTTAAAAATACATTTTTCACTCCGGAGCCATTTTTTGTTTTTTTTCAGATTTTTTTTTTTGTAACATAATTGGAATATACATATTATATTTCGAATTATATTCAATTTTAGTTTCCAAATATATTAGCATTATTATGAATTTTATTATATTATAGGTGACTAAAAAAATGAAAACACATTGAATTCCGTTATTTCGTCAATTTGATTAAAAAAAATTATAATTTTGAAATAAGTTTTTATTTAATTCAATTTCTGAAATTCCAATTTTCATTTTCCGATTTTTTGAACGGAATTGAAATTAGTTTTTCACTTGCGAAAAAAATAAAATACAAAATTTCTAATTAGTAATTTCGATCCGATTCATCTGATTTCCTCCGATCCTCTAATCATCCATCATATATGAACGAATATCGATTAAAAAGTAGATTTTCGGAAAATCGATGAATTTATCAATGTTTGAGGTAATTCTTGATTTATTTATATATGTTATATGTTCATGCATGCAATGCAATGCAATGCTATTTAGAGAGAGAGAGAGAGAGAGAGGGTGAGGTGGCCATACCCAGAGTGGAATACGTGCATCGATGTTGTCAGCCAACAAAGTGATGTTCCATATTTTGGAGGCCCACAGGTACTTCTCGTGCTCCCCAGTGAAGGGGAAAGCTTCGGTGCCCCAGCTCCATATCATGGGGAGCGCGTCGTGATTGGACGGCTTCCCATGCGGGTCCAGGACAACTAGCATGGGCATGTGCACGAACTTCCAGTACTCCCTGATGTACCTGATCGCCACCCTCTCCACCAGCGAAGGGTGCTCCACCGAGTACCACGGCATCACGTTCCGCAAGTCCTGGAACGCCTTCTCCTGCATGGGCGTCATCGCCGCCGCCGCCGCCGTGGTGGTGCTCGGGTCATGAATCACCGGCAGCCAAAGAACCTCGTACTCGTGCCTGTCGGATTGCTGCCGGTGGATCGAGTTGAGTATGTGCAGCTCTTCCAGTGGGAGTTCGAGATCGGAGATTAGGAGGAGTACGTACTTTGACCTCAGCACATCCAGTCGTTCCTGTTTTTATGACGTCATTAATATTAATTTTTTAAATAAAAGGGACAAAAAATAAATTTAAAGAAAAAAGATATATAGAGAGAGATGACGGACGTTTGTCTTGGTACGGCCGTTATAGAGTGGGCGTTGGTCTTCTCTTGACCGGAACATTGCCCGGAGAACTTTCATGTTGTCCACGTGGGCTGATGTCATGATGATGACGAACCTTTTGTATTCATCTTCTTCCTTCTTCTTTTCTGCAGTGAGAAAAAAAATTAAAAATCAATAATTTTTTTTTCTTTTTCCTTTCATGTTTTTTTTTTAATCTCTTTGATATGATCATGTAATAATGGACTACAGTGGATGAGAGTTGAGTAGGGTGCGAATTGGAACCAAAATTTTCGATTTCCCTCGATTTAGATCGGAGTTTTCCGATTTTAGAATTTTTTTTTTTTCATTTCGATTTTCCATTTTTCAAATTATTTTGGATTGGAATTAGAATATTTTAAAATTCCAATTTCCGAGTCAATTTTAAAATCACCAAAAAAAAATTCCGAGAATTTACATTAATCCAAAAATTTCACTTATAATATCAAAATTATTTTGCATTACTTATTTAGGTGACTAGAAAATTATAATTTATCCAAATTTCGCCAATTTCACTTCGAAATTTTTCGATTTTGTAACTAATTTTTTCTTCGAATTTTTTCGATTTTGTAACCATTTTTTTCTCTCAATATCGAAAGTTTTTTTTTTTTAATTGACGGAATTGGAATTAATTCCAATTCGGATGCATTCGATATCGATTGAGACTCAAAATACTCACCAACAAAGTCCCTACAATTCTTGAACTGAGTCTGCAAGTGCTCCAATATGATCGAGAGCTTATGCGCCAGGCTCGATATCTCCCACGACTCAGCAGTTGATGTAATATATCTGCTATATATATCATCACATAATTAAACTTCGATTTAAAATAAATAAATGAATATCAACATCAATATCAATTATAAATACACATACTCGTGACCGCTGCCGATGAGATTGAGCAGCGTGGAAGCGCACACAAGCAAACTCCTAATGATCCAATAAACAGCCAACGGAATATGCGCGGTGGCGGCCATATACTCGGGCGAGTCGTGGCTGATGTACACATCGGGGAGCTCCTTGAACTCGATGATCCGGTGAGTCACTTTCAAGACTTGGTTAAGCAAATTGAGGACTTGGTCGAACTTCTGCTGGAGCGCGCCGGCGTGGGCCATGACGTCGGGGAGGTCTTTGAGTGTGGCGATGTTCTTGGCGAGCGGATCTTTGGCCTGGAGGTGCTCCACCAGCCAGAACTCGCCGTAGTTGATCGCGAACGCCGCGAAGGTGATCACCACCTTCGCGGCCCACGAGTAGTTCGAGAGCGTGTTGAGGAGGTGCATCGTTACCGTGTGTGACTCACCTCCAGCGGATGATTTGCACACTATCTGTTTTTTTTTTTTTTTAAATTTGATCAAAACAAAACTCATCAAATAATGCTCCAATTAGTGTTAATTAATTGCATTTTACACCCTTAAAAAAGTTAAATAGATAATTTTGCCCCTGATAATTAGGGTTCCGGCAAAATTTTGGACGGAAATCGTAACTTTGGGGCACGGTGCAATAATTTGCACAGTATCTGTTTTTTTTTTTTTTTTGATCAAAACAAAACTCGTCAAATACTCCAATTAGTGTTAATTGCAATTTACCCCCTCAAAAAATTTAGACATATATTTTCGCCCCTGATAATTAGGGTTCCAGCGAAATTTTGGACGGCAACGGTAACTTTTGGGCACGGGGCGATAAGTAATTGATTTAAGGGGAAATTGTGTGTGCAATGTGCAAGGTCGGCATATAATTTAGCGGGAAACCCCTTTTTAAAAAAATTTGCAATTGAACAAGGTAAATTTCCAATTTTACCCCTTAATAGAAACATACGACGTATTAAAATGGTAATTACGCATAAACAAAAATCAATTAGTATAAAATAGATCCTATAAATGCATGCACCAAATCCTCATATGTTCATTTTTTTATATTTGTTTATTTTATTTTTGCACAAGGAGAATGTAAATTTCCAATTTTACCCCTCCATAGAAACACATTGCATATTAGATGGTAATGACTAATGGAGAACCAATGTTCACTCAGAGAGAAGTTAAGAAGGCTAATTTAGTCATTTTTAAAACTCAAGATTCTTTAAAAACAAAATCAAGAACACACATACGTATATTCGTTTTGTGAAATACAATACACGTGCATGATAGAATATAATACCTCGCAGGAGATCTTGTTGATTGGATATGCAAGCACTCGAACAATGTCGGCATCGTGGTCGTAAGTCGAACCGTAAACCTTGCTCTCGTAGACGACCTTACTGTTGTCGTAAATCTTGCTGTTGTCGTAAACCTTATTGTTGTCGTGGCCAGAAGCAGTAGTATTATGGAATGCCTTGTCGTCCAATTTCTCCACATGCTGTGACGATGCCACAATTTGACCTCCCGGAATCTGCGGAAAAAAATAAATAAATAAATAAAATTGTAACATTATTTTCAATATTATTAAAAAAAATCGATTTTCAGACAAATATATATATATATATATTATCGTACAAGATTAGTGTCGTGAGACGCAGGCGTAGCGAGGCGCATGATATCCTCGACAATGGCAAGAAGCGGCTTCACGTCGAGCTCCTGAACATCGGGGGCATGAGTGCCCTGAATTTGCTTGGTAAGGGCATTATCGTCCGACGAGAAGAAGTTGCTCCGGTCGTGGTCCCCCTGCCTGCCAGGCTGGCGCCTGCCGAGAACCGGCGCGCTCAGCGGCACCGCCACCTGTTGGCCGAGGTGGTGGTTCGCGGTAGTGGCGCCCATGTGGTGGTCCACCACCTGGTCGTGGTGGCTGGCCGGCCTGATGAGGCTGTGGTCGGTCACGAAGTCGTGGACCCCACTCTGGAGTGGGGCTCTTGTCGGAGCCACTACACGCTCGGCGGTGGTTAACGGGAGAGGGTTTGATGGAGGGAGTAAGTTGCGATTAGCCATTCGGGGGAGGGGTATTTTGGGGATTGTGGAGAGGGAGATTTGGTTGTGTCTGTGTGTTTTTTTTGGTGTTGTGATGTTTGGTCTTATATAGATGGTTTTGATGTGGTGATTACTACTATTTTCTTCCTTATGAGAAACAAAGAATAAAGTTGTAATGGATCTTGTTCTTTGCTTCATTTGTGGTTTAGTGTAATAAGAGAGACAAGTTACTGTACTAAAAGAACATGAATTATTTGCATACAAACCCCCGTGAAATGTCTAATTGCTGGAAAAGTCAATGTATTAAAAAAAAAAAAAAAAAGGAAAATTTCTAATTTCTTTCTTTTTCTCTTCTTAAATTTAAGGGATATTTCTGACTTTTCATGTCAAAATAACAACTACAAACCGCACCAACGGCGCGTGCATCACACGATTTGGTGATAGGGGGGCTGGAGCCTTTGACTTAGTAATATAGGGGAGTAAATGCTAATTGTTTTTACATATGGACTTTTCCGATAATTAGACATAATACAGGGGTATCGCTTGCTAAAAACTTAAAAGAACATATATAATGTAACTTTATTTTATTTATTTAGTTAAATTTATAGTAGAACGTGATTCATGTTTGAATCTTCTTTACTTGTTTCATACAATATTCTCATGAAATTAAAATCTTGTGCTTTAATTTGGTTTTTAGTTCATGTGGAATATCACTTTGCTGCATGCTCGACAACTTATTTTTACAGCCATATAATATTCCATTTGTTTTATTTGTTTTTTCATTAAAGATTTTATGAAAATGATTTTTTTTTTTTTTTTCTTTCTGAAAATTAGTGTAATCTTGCTTTAGCAAACATCTTGATTTGGAATAGGAATGAAAATCCTTTTTGTTTTCAAATGCTTCTTTACTTGATACTTGGGTTATTTTAATGGTCCAAGAGTGTGTATCCGTAAATTACGACCACCCCTGATGTAAGCTTAAATTATGAAAATTTCCCTTATGTTTGGATAATTACAATTATTCACTTTTACTTTTTTGGTGTCAAATATATACAATCTTTTAAATTATGTGGAATATTCTCCAGTTTGTGCTCATTTTTACCCCATTCGAGTTCCATGTTTTGAAACAAGATGATCATAAGATGTGTATTTTAGCTTGTAAATACACCATACTTAAACGTGAGAGGATTTTTCGTAATTTGATATTCTCCAGTTTGTACTCATTTTTTAAGTCGAATTTTACACCATACTTAAACATAAGGGGATTTTTCGTAATTTGATATTACACAAGGGGTGTCCATAATTTATCATATTATTAAGTGTAAATATATATATATATATATATATATATATATATATATATATATATATATATATATATATATATATATATATATATATATATATATATATATATATATATATATATATATATATATATATATATATATATATATATATATATATATATATATATATATATATATATATATATATATATATATATATATATATATATATATATTCACCCTTAAAGTGAAGTCCCAAGCAAAAAAAAGGAAAAGCACGTTCTATCCAAATGTTATTGCCACAAATACTTCGTCTTAAGTAGTTGCTGCTACTGTAAAGGATCCACCCTTTATAACTGAAGTAATATTATACTTGTCAGTAACGGATTTAATGTTTTTTTTTTTTTATTATTATTTTTATTTCTTAAAATTCAAATCATGTTATAATTTTATAAATGAAAAGAAAAAAAAATCCGGTTTTTATAGCATATACCTTATTTTCACCTTACAATTTACAAATACTCCCAATTAGCTCTCAAAAAGAAAATTAATAATAATAAATAAATGATACAACGATCGTAGTCTTGTACTCGTTCTATCTACTTATTTGCGTCACAAAAAGTCGTTAAAATAATAATAAATAAAAAAAGAAAACCGATTTATTCGTCACATTTGTAGACAACAAATTTATCGATAGGCCGTTTGCAAGAACCACAAATCATTATTTTCTCGATCGATCCTTCTTCATAAGCAACCAACTCATGATAATTGCATTTTCCACCATCTAAAGGAGGCTCAACTAAGCCCGTTTCTTCGACATTTTTGCACCATAATGGAAACTTATCGAACCATTCTTCGACTCTTTCTCGATCGAGTTTCATCACATCCGTTGAAAAAGACCCTCTACCGATCACAGCCCAACCAAAGTTGCTATTCGAGTCTAGCAACTTTGCAACTTCATCACCAATTTTACCCGAAAAATTACATCTTTTTATCGCCTCCAATCGGAACCAGAACAAACGCACCTTATCGAAAGTCAAAGTAGCGCTTAGATTTTCTTGAGAAACGGTCTCGATAATGTCTTTCACGTTTTCGCCGGGATTTTTGCAGCCAACGTATATTGCTTCAAACTGAATATTCCCTACTATAGTACTCTTTATCTTCTTCGTTTTGGAATTAAATTCCCTTATCCACTCCAAATTATCGCTTCCGTAAATGCAGATATTCTTGCCTTCCTCCCCCTGAGATTTTCGAACACTAATTTATCAATTCACAAAAAAAATAAAAATAAAAAATAGTGATTTTTTTAGTAAAGATTAATGCATTTTTTTCTTACCAATTCGGACGATAAAGAATCGATCCCATTAATCATGAAATTTAATGTCCAATTTTCGTTCTCCCGTAGCTCTTTTTCTCTCGAACTCGAAAACGGAAATGCCTTCTTCCCCCAAATCCACACCATATCCATTGCATTTGAATTTACAACCACGCCCTTTTCGTTTAGGACAACCATCATAGGATCTTCCTTAAACCCCCATTCTTGTTTGATGTAGTTTACTACAGTTGGATTTATCGACCACGGCCTTCTAATAAATAACCATGGCAACCGACTAGATAAAAACTCGAAACTCGCCACGTCATCAACGCTCCATTTACTATACATCGGAAGCCATACTATTTCGTAGCTTCCCTCGTTTCTTGTCATGTGTTGAACCAGCAAAAATATCTTGTCTATAGGTAGAAGCTCCGGCTTCGAGATCAAAAGTATAACTACTTTATTTTTCAGATCAAGAACTCCACTCTGTTTTTCGATAACACAAAGATGTAATAATTTTGAGAGGTCTTGTAATAATAATAATAAATTAAAACTCATGTAATAATCTTTGAAAACTCACCTTCTCTCCTGAAGAAGGGTTCTTCAAAGGGAACTCGTTTTCCGAGGCTAATAAAATCCTTAACGCGTTTTGGTTATCGACTTCGTCTTCCTTAAACATACGTAGCAGCTTTTCGTATAACCTTGTCTCTGAAATTAAAGTTAGATTATCACAAACTAATCCAGATTTTTTTCATTCACATGGAAAACTATACAAGAATGTTTTTTTTTTTTTTAACGGAAAAATCGACCTATTTGGTGTTGGCATTGATCGACGCATTCTCCAAGATCACGGGACAAACTGTTCAACTTCTTTCCTAGACTAAGAAGCTCCCATGCTGCAATAACCGTCTTGTCCGAATACCTGAAATTGAACAGTTTGTTCATTTTTCTAAACCGAAAAGAAAAAAGAAAAAAAATGTGAATCGAAAAAGGAAATAGTTAGATCAAAGGGAAAGAACATGCACTTGCTCAAGTCTCGAGTTTCGTAAATCCGTAATTTGTGAAGAGCTAACCAATACGCTTCTGAATATCCAGTAGGTCGCCACGTAGATCTTGGACTTAGTGATATCCATAGCATTATTATCCGCAAGTTCGTGATGTACGTACATTACTTCGAATCTTATTACAAGTTTCGTCAGATTCAACATAGAATTAACCAAAGAGTTCAACGCTTTGAATTTGGGTTTTAACACGTCGATAGACTTCGGGAGCCGTTTAACTATTGCAAGTGAATCTGCCAATGCGTTTTCGGATTGTAACAGCAAAACGAGCCAAAATACTCCGAACTTGGTTGCGAAAGATGCGAGAGCTAAGACAAGTTTCGCATCCCACTTATAATGACTCAGAATTTCGAGCAAGAAAATCGTTTTTCTGTGCAGATTTTCGTCCTCAAACCGTAGGCTAAAGATCTGATTTTTTTTTACCCAAGATTTCGTATTAGACGTACGAAAATAATATCGATTATGTTTAAAAGATACATTTTTTAATCGGAATTAATTACCTCGTTTGAGATCTTGTAGATGATGAGTGAGATTGGCTCGTCTGATAATCCAATCAGATCAATTTCACTAATACGAGTTGCATCAAGTTGTGGTGGATCAGAAACCTGAAACGAATTAAAATTGATCATAGTTTAGTAATTTGGATGAAAGTTAGAGCATTGTTGTAAGAGAAGAATAACTTTACATTGTCTGAAGTACAACAGAAAACTCTCTCGACTAGGTTCAACAGGAGATGAGAATCGAGCCAACGATTATCGGGATCATGTGTGAAGAGGATTTCCCTTGTAAGAAAATCAACTTGATGAAGGGATTGGAGTGGCAATTTCATCTTCAGTAAAGCTCATGACCAGCATATGGGATCAACTGATTTGATAGTTGTTGCCTCGTAAATAACGGGGACAAAAAAAGAAACGAAAAGATGCTCATTGAATAGCTTAAACAGCAATTCTTGCAGTAACTTTGAAGAAAATCACGGTTCAAGACTGCTTTTTTTTTTTTTTTCGATTTTGCGGTGTGTAATCCTCAATTAACAGGTAATAACTGCGGTATTTACGGAGATGAAAGCTCAAAGCAAAAGTTGATAAAGAAGTGTTCTTGACTGAACAAGTGTGAATCTCATGCAGGGACAAGAAAGTAAATATGGCAAAAACCACAAAAGAAAAAGCTACAGCCTTTGCAAAAGTGATTCTTACGTCAAATAAGTAAATTAAAGATTGGACACTATTCAAAAGGGCATTACAGTAACCATAAGTTCCTGGTTTTTAATTCCATTTCTTGGGTTTGAGTTTCGTCCCAAACCCGACCCGTTAACCCGAATCCTTTCCTAGTCATTTTCGTTTCGTCTTCCTTAAGTTTGTTTTTAGAGACTATCTTTGTCTCTTTCGCAATCTCCTACTGCTCGGGTTTGGTTCGGATAAGATTTTTGCTTACTGTGAATCTTGATGTATTTGTTTGAGTTTTCCTTTTACGAATGCCGGGTAACTGAAGAAGGTTACTACATAGTACATATACACAATGAGATACAATATTTAAGAATAAAGGAAGCAATTTCAACTCGAACGAAAAAAAAAAAAACAAAGAAATTTACAATCAATTGTATTGTACACCAGAACGAAATAAGTGTTGGTCATTCCTCGGATATTCTCACGATCGAAACCCGAAACTCGGACAAAAAAAAAATTCAAGAAGCTATATCTCCAATGCACGACGACAGTAGAGATTTTTACGTCATTATTGATCAGGATTTAGGACCCCTGCTAAATCCTGTCTGTTCATTTGATATTTACATTTCCCCTGTACTAAAAAAAAATCATTTTTTTTTTACATGAAAAGTAAAAATCTCGAGCCAGAGATTTAATGTTGTCATGGAACCGCAACTGGACGATTTTTTTTTTACGACGAGTATGTACGCATGGCTATGAGTAAAGCTTAATTCGCGTACTGATTGTGCTCCGGCACATTGGACAGTATTCAAGGTCCGTTCCACATTCACAACATGTCTGTAATGCATATGTGTTTTTATTAGACTCTGTCTTATGTTTGATGATCTAAAAGAGATTACGATTAACGAAAATATATACCTGGTGGCCACATCCAAAAGCCATGTCTTTTAAATTACTCAGGCATATCGGGCAAAGCTGTTTCAGAAAGAAACGAGATTTACGATTCGAAAAAAGAAAAGAAGAGACAAGATTAGAATCATAGGAACATATATGTGTGTATGGATTCTTACCTTACTGTCGTAAAGAGAGCTCGAGGAAGAGGCTGTATTGGCAGAGTTTTCGTTTCCAGGGTAAAGGGGAACGTTTGTGTTCCTCTGTGAACTGCTTGTACTGTAAGGATTGTGCCTAGTGGTAACATTTCCTCTGCCGACAGGTGGCGGAAGCGCAGTTCTCCTAGGAGCATTTCCTGTCTGCTGACTATTAAAAAAAAACAGGGGAATCATAAAAATGGAATCTTGAAAGTAAATCTATGACAAATTGATGGATCGGTTTTTTTTTTTTTTTTTTTTTTTTAAATTAATTAATTTATTTATCATTACCCTAATATGCTGAGCTCTAATGTAGCTTGATATTGAGAAGGGATTTCCATGAGAGCCGAAAGGGCAAATGCAGCCTCTTTTCTTGAATATTCCACGTTCTTCGACATGATATCCGTGAAATTGACGAACTGGTAAAAAAAAAAAAGGAGAAATGTTGCAAAGCAATCTCAGACATGGAAATTTTCTGTTGTTTAAGTGAATTGTCCGAAAATTTTTACCTGAAAATTATCGAATGCTCTGGCAGGAAGATTGTCGTCGAATTCTTGCATCATTTCCCAAGGTCCATCCCCAACACCAACGACAACAATCGACAAGGGATAGGCACTGAAATGAAATAGAAATGTTAGAGTATATACATACATACATACATACATACATATATATGTATGTGTATATATATACATTGACAAGAAAATGGCTAAGTCTTTATGTACCTTGCTCTGACAATAGCATCAACTGTCTTCTTCTCTTGTGGGCTCAATTGACCGTATGGAGTATCCACACTTCTTGTAACCTAATTAAGCAGCAAATTTTGTTTTCATTATATTAGTCAGGAAAAACAGTTTCGGAAATAGAGACAATATTCTTGTAAGATCCCGGTTTTTTTTTTTTTTACCTGGCCATCGGCAATTATGAGTAATACATGGTACTGGCCTCCGGTTTCCTCAACAATACTCATGGCCATTTCGATAACCGGTGCAAACGAAGTTGGACCTGTGAATCCATGACCGAGTTTATTAACATTAGTTTACTAACTCATTTTAAGCCTTTATTAAGGTGCAAAATTAGTACCCGAAAGTCGAAGTTGAGGAACTAAATCTCTGTATCTTCTCAACACTTCTTCAAATCCATCACAAAACCTCCCGTCTGGATAGAAACTAAATACATCCCGGTCGTGTGTTGACGCTGCAAGAAAAATAGCAGAACACCATACAAGTCAACTATTTATGCACATAACAAAAACGAAAAAAAGATCAAGAACGAAATGATATTTTTTCGTTTTTTTTTCCTGTTTTTTTTCGTACCGTCTCCGAATCCGAAACATGGAATTAGGTTGTCCTCATCAAAGGAGGATAAGGTTTTCCCAATGATGGAAATGGCTTGCTCATATGGATTTGGTCCACTTCCAATATGGTGCAAGCTTTTTCTGTTAAAAGACTTGGCCCCTGGATTTATTTCATTTCAGATAGAGTTATTAGTGTAGTGTAAGATTCTCTGAGTAAAATCATCAAACAAGTTGTGGGCAAGAATTTGAAACCTGTCCATTCATTGCTCTTTGTAAAATCTATTCCGACAATAAGATTTGAAGATTCCAGACCGGATTTCGAAAGAGCAGATGTAACCTGAGAAGATCATTAAAAATTCTCCATCTTGTCAAATTTCATTCTTTTTATTTAATCAATTGAATAAATTACAATTTTTCACAAGAAACATTTCTCCGGGAATGGCCTGACCTGATCAAGCGTCTGGTAGTTATCGGCGATTCTTATGAATCTCCTATCGAGGCGGCGGTTTGGCTGTGGAGCTGGCGGCGCGTGGGTGTAACTCGGCGGAGCGTGGTGGTGCCGCGGCGTGGGATACGGGTCGTGAGGATATCCCGCGCCGCCGCCGCCGCCGCCGTGATCATCAAACGATGATGACGTGTAATATCTTGGGCTCGAACTTTTGTTCCCCATTACTCACAAAAGTCAAAAAATTTGCAGAGAATTAATCCCTCAAATCAGTACGAAAAATTCTGCCGAATATGATCGGAACTGGGAGAACTGATCAGAGACGAATTGTTGCAGGAATTTAATATAACAGACGTGCTACATATATATATATATATATAGACACACACATACGTGGCTTCTTTTCATTGGACGAGTTCAACTTATCCATTAAAAAAAATCAATATTTTAAAACTAATGAAGTCTTTGCCTTGGCGGCTTATAGTCAATGAATAAGATTTAAAAAAAATTAATAACTATGGCCCCCGTAATTAATATTAATTCCCAAAAATCAACTGTTTGTACTCTTTTTTTCTTGCTTAAACAATTTCCAAGAAATTAAACTTACAATATATGTCAAATTACAACACCCTGAAGTACTACGCTTAAATTACCAAAAAAACCCCTATATCTGAATAGTACAATCACTCGTCAATTTGTTGTACATAGTTGATAGAGTGATATAATTATCTAAATATGAGAAATTTTTTCGTAATTTGAACGTATTTCAGGGTGACTGTAAATTGCAAGACAATATAAATAAATTCGGACAATAGGGAACTTCAAATGAAAAGTATACGCAAGAAAAATTGTATAGAAAAATGGGAACAAAGTCATAATTTCATTGAAGCGCAAGAAATGTGCAAACTTGTACGTAACCTTTCTAGGAAGGTACCACGTCAATCTTTTTGGTCAACTATCTAAGCTACAATTAAAAGAAAACAATACACTATAATTAATTAATTAATTATCAGTTTTCTTTTAATTAAAAAAAAAACCAGTACTAAAATTTAAATAGTATGTGTGGGACAAAATAGTTTGTCGTTTTCGGTTAATTCAATGTCATTTATATATCCAAGTATCATTTTTTTTTCTTTTTCCTAAATATATATCATATATACAAAATATATTACCTTGACACGTGTCAGAATTCTAATGGGTCATGTTTTTTTACCTCCGATAAGCATAGATAAAATCAGATAGAATCAGACAGAATCCTAGAAAATCATGCTAACATAATCATATCTACTCTTTTGTTTTAAAATGTTTTAGAAAAAGGTGTGTCCCCTTCTTGCTAGCTACTTCATATTTGAACAACTCCCAAATTAAAGCATATTCTTTTCAAGGATGCCTCCTACTTCTATCCACTTATGAAATTTCATATCTTTATATAGAAGAAATTTTCCATGCATTTATTCGTAAGTGTTAGTGAATTAAACCATATAGTTTGAAAACACAATTCAATGGAACAATGAAACGAATACGAAGAACACTTAAGATTACGTGGTTCAAATCAGTGTTATCTTATATACACCGTAACAATAATGACAACTTCTTTATTGTCAACGGTTGATGGAGATTACAAGCTTACGATCACGCACGATGCAGCTCACACTTTAGCATCTCACTAAAAACCCTAAAGATGCGTAAGATTTTTATTGCTACACAAAGTGTTTGCTACTGAAACGGCGTATCTTTCGATGCCTCATGAATCTTGTGCACCAATTAGGTATTATGTACTCCTCGGATCCAGTCAATGCACATGCTCTTTGAAACCGTTTTCAGCTGCTGAATAACAAGTTGTTGGAACAACTCTTCTGCCAGCTCAGATTTATTAGCATGTGATCATAACCAACTGCTAGTCGACCATCGACTCTGAACTAACCATAACAGTAAGCGAGATAAGCATCAAAACGATCATATTGGACCGTAGCTATTTAAGCACATCGAATACGTGGATTATTATTATTATAATAATAATAATAATAATAATAATAATAATAATAATAATAATAATAATAATAATAATAATTATTATTATTATTATTATTATTATTCTTTAATTACGGGCCATGATCCAAAGACTAACCTGAAATAGCCCAATAAAAAGCCAATAAAAAGAGTCCAAGCCCAAATACAATAACCAAAAAATTATTAATATCTCAATTTTTTGAAATTTAAAAAATAAAATAAATGCTCTCGTGCAAAAAAATAAATAAAGAAAACCCTACTTAAATCCTCTCAACGGCATCCAGAGATGACGTGGCATTTGACCACTTGTCTTCCAGATCTATAAAAACTCCAACCTGTCTTCTTCGCTTCTATGTTTGGCCCACCTTCGAGCTTCTCTCTCTAGAAAAAAAATAAAAAAATAATTAAGCACTTTCCGTTGAACGGATCCTTTCCTATTCCTTTCCTTTTTCTTTTTCATAATAATAATATTATTAATATCTCCGTATTTTCAGTGCGTACTGATCAAATGTCTGCTGCTTTGTGCCCCAGAACCAATTAGCTAGTTCATGTAAGCGATTATTGTTCCCTCTCTCTCTTTGTAATTATCGATGCTGATTTTTGGGACTTTTTAGTTATTTTATGCTTCAAATAGGGTTTTTTTTTTAATTGAATTGGATTTGTGTATATCGAGATTTCATCCAATTTGTTGCTGGTTTAGTGGGTTTCTACTGGGTCGTGGTTTGTTATTTGATTCAGAAATATTTGGTCAAGGATGTTAGGTTAGAAATTTTGGTTGATTTTTTCAATCGTAGTTATAATATTGAATACTGAATATGTGAATTTATTGTTTTTTTTTTTTTGGTTTCTGAGAATTACCGTAGGGGGAGATCTTGAAATTGGGAATTTGGGAAATTGGTTAACTCTTTCTTCCAACCCGATAAAGAGCTTTGTTTTTTGATGTTTGTTGTGTGGTAATCCAAATGAATACTTATTAAACTTTCACTTGGTTTCACAGAGTGGCAGCTTAAAATTTTGAAATGTTGAGGGAAGAAGAGAAAGATCAAGCAGTAGGTTGGAAGACGTACTCGAGGTCTGTCTCGTGGACCGAACGCCCACCACGGAAATCGAATTCCAACCCACAATGGAACAGCAAGGCAAGGGCATGTTTGCCGCCACTTCAGCCACTTTCCATCACTCGTCCGAGCATCGAGGAATGGCCGAAAGCTGGCTCGGATGATCTCGGAGTATGGCCTAATCCTCCGACACCTGGCGCAAGGCCTCGTTCTCTAACGCCCCGCGAAAACTCGACCGGAGAGCAGCATCATCCGAGAGAATTCGAATTCCGAAGAGACAAAATCGCCTTCTTTGATATGGAATGCTCTAGAGTTTTGGATCATATATATTTAGGAAGCGATGCAATTGCTAAGAACCGTGAAATCCTCCGTCAGAATGGGATAACCCACGTGCTCAACTGTGTTGGGTTCGTTTGCCCGGAGTATTTCAAGAACGAGCTTGTGTACAAGACGCTCTGGCTGCAGGACTGCCCCTCTCAGGATATTACAAGTATCCTCTACGATGTTTTTGATTATTTCGAGGATGTTCGTGAACAAGGTGGCCGTGTCCTTGTCCACTGTTGTCATGGGGTGTCTCGGTCAACCTCGTTGGTCATTGCGTATCTTATGTGGAAAGAGGGTCGGAGCTTCGATGATGCTTTCCAGCACGTCAAAACAGCTAGAGGGGTGGCTAATCCGAACGTTGGATTTGCTTGCCAGCTGTTGCAATGTCAGAAGCGCGTGCATGCTCTCCCTGCAAGTCCATCTTCTGTGATTAGAATGTACCGAGTGGCACCTCACTCGCCGTACGACCCTCTTCATCTCGTTCCGAAAATGCTGTCCGAACCAGGTGCAGATAAGCTTGACTCGCGTGGGGCGTTCATTGTCCACATTCCCTCTGCTATGTATGTCTGGATTGGGACATGTTGCTCCTCGGTGATGTCTGAAAATGCCAAAGCAGCTGCTTCCCAAGTTGTTCGTTATGAAAGTGCTCAATGTCCGGTTGTAACCGTCGAAGAAGGCGAAGAGACATCTGAATTCTGGGATGCTTTCAGCTACATAAAAGGTTCAGACAATGGCTGTCATGTAAAGTCCAAGGAGGAAAAGAGTTTCTGCGCAGGGTCTACAAGTCAAAGGAAACTCGATGAGTACGATTTAGATTTCGAAATCTTTCACAAAGCGCTTGCTTTTGGAGTTGTACCGCCTTTTCCATTATCTGAAGCAGGATCCGAGACATGCCTTCCTGCTAGGGAGAATGGTTGGAATAGATTGAGGAGAAAGTTTGTAAAGGGTATTGTTAAAGAACTTAATCTTAAAAAAGTTGAAGACACTGTCTCTCTTGATAATGTCTCGTTGCAGTCAAGTACTCAATGTGATTCACCGGATTCATTTGCTTCTTACGTGACAAGCAGCCCAAGTTCGAAGAAAAACGATTTAAAATCACCGTCGTTCGATTTGGTGGATTCTTTTTCCACCTTTTTCGTTAGTAAACCGAAATCCGATTTAACATCTCCATCGGTCTCGCCTTCAACATCCGATTATTCGAGCTCGTTTACGTTTTCTCCATCATCGTCGAACTGGTCCGACTCATCATTCGTGTCTGCTCAGTCATCACCTCAGAGTCTTGAATCGGGAGATTCTGATCCTGCTAAGAGTGGTCCTTTAGAGGAAAGTGCTGTTCCTATAGAGGATGAAAAAACACGTTTATCAGAAGAGACAATTACTATTTTGCCCTCCATTGATGAAGAATCTCGAACTTCTTCACAAAACTCGAGTATGTACTTGGAAGATGATGAACATGATTCAGATGCAAATGGCCACGAGGCTGATGCTGACGTTTTAAGTAGATTGTGCGATGAAAAAAAGTACGAAAAAATTGATCTTACAGCAGATGACATGACTAACAAAATAGCGGGAGAAAAAAACATAGTATTTTACGAGTGGCCTTCTATGCTGAAAATGGATATGAATTCTAGCATTCTTGATTCTAGATCAGTTTATATTATAGTTATACCCGAAGTAAGTTTCGGCACAAAGAAAGTTGATGCGTTATATGTATGGATAGGGCGAAACGTGTCATTGGAAGGAAGTGATAGGCAGTTGATCAAGAATGATAGCAAACATGAAGATATTCGTGGCCGTTTGGAGGCACTTGGCCTTCATCTTCTCGTTGAGAAGGGTTTCAGCAAAGATGCTCGTATTAAGGTACTTACTTAATCTTCTTGAATCAAGACAATGATTCTACCATAATTCAATTTGGACTCGTTTTAACAGTAAAGCCATGTGGGCTTTTGAGCTAAATTAAATATGTTAGGAGAAAGATCGGTATTGTTGCCTACTTGTATTGTTTTGCGAAAACATTTCGATTGTACTACAATCTTGAATGTCACTTAACTACATCGAGTGAACACGGAATTATATATATCTTTTCTTTTACTATCCCGACTTGTAACGAAATGGATTGATTAATGTAGTCATCGAATTTACTAATTTACGTTGTTACAGATAGTGGAGGAAGGGGAGGAACCGGAGCAGCTAGTGGAGTATTTGGCATGCTTATCAATAGGCAAAGATTCAGACAAAGGTGGTGGTATATAGGTAGACAGAAGAAAATGAAATTTAATGATTTTTCATATGGGGTTTGGTTTGCAGCTCTCTATAAATCTAATGAGTAATGAGTTGCTGCTGCTCTCTATTCTTCTATTTGGCAATCCCAAAGCAGGGCATTTTTCATGTTTCTGTGCTTGTGAGATGTAAGGACAAAAATCTCATTTTTAATCATAAAGGAGGAATTTTTAGATTCTGTTTATGTTTAATTGAAGAATTTTCTGGTAATAATTTATTTGCAGTCTCTTTTCTTTTAATTGTATGTTGAAATGCAAGTATGTGTATTTTCTTCAATAAAAATCAATTCTTTAAAAAGAATATTGTTTTCAATTGCAACTGGATTTTTATTTTATGGTAATTGGGTTCCACGTTAGAATTATTACATTTGACATCATTTCAAATAATACTATGATTATGTCTAAATGGTCCTAAAAGTAATAATAAAATAGAATGGGCTTTTGGAAAAGGGAGAGATCATAGACGAAGGAAAGCCCGACCGTGAAAGAGAACGATTGCTCTAGACGACTTGTAAAAAGGAGTGCTTGGAAGGTCTTCGTAGGCATTAATTATCCAATGGTCAAGTCAGTCGAGCAGAGTGAAAAATGATATATCTTTGAAAGAGGTAAAAAATGGCGTATTGAATGTAATATAGGAAGAGGATTAAAAACCCTTTGTTTTTTTTCGTTCCACAATTGCATTTATACCTAGTCTAGTGGGACCCCTATCTTATCAAACCACGATGTACGTGCAAATGAGGTGACTTGTGCGAGCTCATTTTATCTGCTGAAAGCGATATTCTTCCTTTCACTACGACATATGTTGCTCCATTGTTGCTTTTAACTGTCATAAGCGAGCTCGTTGTTGGTTGATGGACCTATTTTCAGTCCACATCAAGATGCAGGATTTTCACCCCCGTTTCCGACATTAAGCCGAATGTAGTCACATCCATCGCTTACACATACTCTACGTGAGACTATTTGGTAGACTTTAATAGTTGTAGTGGGTGAGACAATCTTGTTCCTGGCCCGCCGTTGGGCTTTGTTTATGGCTTTTAATTCAATTCGGGCCATTGAACAATTGTGACCCTATCATACTATATGTTTATTTTAACTTTTCCTTTATATTATCAACTAGAATATTTTATTTTATGTAATTTTCTCGTAAACTTTTTGTTTTTTTTATGTTTATTTATATGTGAATTTAATTTACGTCTAAAAGACATTTGTATAAAATAACAACAGATAAAATGTGATTATTGCCACAATCAAACACTTTCTTCAATCCAATTTCTCATTTATAACCAATTTAATTTGACAATTTTGAAACCGTTGGGGATTAAATTAATTTGGAAATTGAAGAGAGAAGATTGTACACACGTCGGATGACAAAAATACCCTTTTGGAAAACAATTTTAATCTTCTCGCTTTCTTCAAAACCACGACCTCTGATCTCAAGTCAGTCACATGGACTGTCAGCAACACTAGATAATTACTCCGGCACCCCTCTCTCTCTCACACACTCACACACACACACACACAAACACATCTCTCTCTCTCTCACACACACAAACGCACAATGGAGTGCTAACACCGCACTACAGTAAAGCAATTCGAATTTCGAAGACCGGAGCCAAGCCATACGCCGAGCCGGGGGAAAAACAGCCAAATCTCAAGCTGGCGTACAGCCCGAAGCGAGCGACGGCGGAGCTCCGCCATTCGAGCTCCATCGGAAGCCGCGCCACCCCGTCCCCTTCCGCTTCCGTTGTGGCTCAATCCCCATTGTCATCTGACTACCAATCGCCCCCCGCCGCCGACGACCATGACAATGGCCGCGATCGTTATCCACGGGATCGCTCGTTCCGCTCGTATGTCCAGCCATTTCTCCCGCACTATTTTTTCCCCAACGACGATCTGTATAGGCCCCATCCTCATAGATCTAAGATCTCGATTCTCATACTCGCAGCTGTTGTTTTCGCCGCCGTTCTTTCAGTTTCTTCTGTCGTCAAACGATTGGTACGCCGATGCCCTTTTTCGTATGTATACATATTAGTTTATGTGTAATTGATTTGCATTTTCGATTTTTATATTCTTTATAGGATTGAAATATTCTCGTTTTGTGCCTTCTATTTGACGAATTGGGGTTTAAGCTAATTGCTTGTTTTTAATGATTTTTTTCCTCAGCATGTTTGTGAACGGGTCAAAATGGATTATGCCAATTACTTGGTGAAATCGGATTTTGGCTCTCATAATTTAGGTTATTTTGTAGTATAATGAGTATCTTACGGACACTGAAAGTCTGGACTATGTGATCAGCAGCTGAAGTAAAATAAGGGTAAAACAAATACATGGAAATTATGTTTCGAGTCTATGCCTATGAAATTGGACTCTCGAAATTGGAATGAATTACGTTTCTAATTTCATTTTACCACTTCGATTCTTTGTGGAAAAAAGTATGGAAATCGCACCCGTGTTCCTGGCTTTCGACTGTCTGATTTCTATAACAAGTTCGACCATCATAATTCAGATCATTTTTGAGCGATTGATAGTGTACAGATGGCAACCTGCTTTGTGCTAGCAAATATTTCTAGGTTGAAATAAGACAAGTTAAGAAGTGTGAGATTTCCTTAATAAAAAAGTATAGTGTAGTCTAGAGTTGATTGGATAAATAATAGTAACTTTGATTTACTTAAGATTGGGACATAAAATTTTCAACTGATTTTTGTGAAGTTGCATGCCATGGGTCGCCTGAGTACATCACTCGATGCATATCATAATTACAATGAGGCTTGCCTAGCATGGTGCCTAATTCTACCCAGTTGATTTATTTGGAATATAGTCTGCACTGTGTAATATTCTTTTATGTTAACTGGTTTTTAATTTAGTTCTCCGGAAGATAAGACTCACTTGGTTAGTTGAATTACAAATTCTTATTTGCAATTATGATACTTGTAAAAACTATCACAGACGTTGTGCTTTATCTAATCATTTCTATTCTGATGTTACCCTCTGCTTTGGTTGCAGAACGCCCCATATTTGTGCAGAAAAGATGGCATAACTCTTCAGTGCCCTCATGTAAGCTCAAATTGTCATCTGGTGCTCTTTTATAAATCCTCAGCTTGGATTGTGGATTCAGTTGCATTACTTTCGTTGCATGTAGGTAAAGGAGTCTTCATCGCTCTGGGAGAATCCTTATTCAGCCACTACATCATGGAAGCCTTGTGCTGAACGACATGAGGGAATAATTTCAGGTACTCATCAATATCAGAAATCATATGAATGATGATAACTTCTGAAAATTTGATGAAATTACGCCTTTGTCCCTTCCAGTGGCCTGGATTTTGCCTTTTCTATTTTTCTGTAAAGGTCTCTTCACTCTGAGAGGAAAAGAAGAGAATGGAACAAAAATAATCTGATTATGAGGCTAGTGAAAAGAATTATCTAAATTCGAAGTTATAATCTGTACTTACTCTTCCCTTCGAAAACTAGAGCAAGTAAACTTTTTAGATATTCAGACTTCAAATATCTTACTTCTTTCATGCTTTGTTCTCAAGCTATTCCGCCGTAATAGTGATATAGGATAGAAAAGATAATGGGAAAATCAGGAGAACTCCTGAAGTATAAATTGATGAATCATTTTAGATGAGATACCGTACTCAATTCAATTTAGAAAGCATCTACTGAGGAATGAACTAGTTGAAGAGTATACCACTATTATGAGCTTTGTTGATTGACTAAACTGAATATTTTGATTTTAGATATCTCTCCAGCAAGACCAATTTCCTTGGACTAGGTGTAAAAATTTACAAGTTTTGGGTGGGTAGGGGATACTCTTAAATGCATTAAAGTGGACCTGAGTTGGTGGAATGCTGTTTGTTTAAAATCAGGAAACAGGCTCTGGGCCATTATTCACTGCCTTTTAAATGCTTTACTTTTACTTTTCACGAATCACGACATTTCGACTTGTTTCTTTTTGTTCCCACAATTGTTGTTCTTTGGGTTCCCATAATTGTTGTTCTTTGGGATTGGGTGGGTGGAACTCTTTTTGTGATGGTTACCAAAAAGCAGAAGAGACTAATATTTTTACAGCAAAAAATACTATCCACTTACCTCTCTTCTGGGATATCTTGTGGCTGTATTCTAGATTAGATTTCTGAATGTGCGTATGTCAGAATTAATCCGTATATGAATGATCTCCTTTCTTTCACCTTGCAGATCTTCCAGCTGAGAATTCAACAAATGGCTATGTATTTATACATGCTGAGGGTGGTCTTAACCAGCAAAGAATTGCTGTATGTGATCCTTGAAGAGACTTAATTTATTTCATGTTTCATGTAGTTCATTCATGCATTATGAAGGAGAGACTATCTGGATCTGGATATTTGAAACTGCTTCTTAATTTATTTTGCTTCTCGAAGACAGTGATAGCTTTTATCATTTGATTCTTTACCCATGTTAGGAGGCATGTTATTACGACTTGCATGGACCACTAGATTTTATTTGGATTTTCGAAGTTTTAAGTGGCTGCGGACCTGTTATTGACTATGAGTGTCTATATGCTTCTCTACAGATATGCAATGCTGTTGCTGTGGCGAAGATAATGAATGTCACTCTTATTTTGCCCGTGTTGAAGCAAGACCAGATATGGAAAGACCAAACGTGAGTGAACTTGACTAAAGCCACCCTATGTTACTATTCTATTTTTTCTTAGGATGATACAGTGATGTCCTTTATCTGTGATGCTCTCAGTGAGGTACCAAAGCAAAGTACTTCAGGGAACTTTGTCGTGGTGCTACCACCTTTAAAACATGTGCTAGTTTAAGCTTTAGCATCTAATTTAATAGCAAGCAACATAATATTCAATTGAAGTTCCCAAACGTGTTACCCTTGTTTGCCTGCTTTAATTAACTTAATACACAATGAAAAAGATTTCTTATGCAGGTGCAAATCAATTGCATTTTTTCAACTGTCGTTTTTTTTTTAAAACTATTTTATCTATTCAACTTATGCCGTACTGTTCTCCAACCTTTCACTTGTAACTTTATCGAGGCTCCTGTGTGTTGCCCTTACACGTAATTATATGAGTTTAGGCAACTGGGTTATTTCGTTGCTGGACTCTCAACATTTATAAATTGATTAACACTCTTGTTTTATGTAAACCATCTATTACTGAGCAATAGTGTCTAATATATGAATTGTATAAATGCAAAGGAAATTTGAAGAATTGTAATGCAGATCATTTTATTGACTATTTTAGGTATCTAGTGTGTTAAAAGTTTACTTTACTGCAGGAAATTTGAAGACATATTTGATGTAGATCACTTTATCGACTACTTGAAATACGATGTACGGATTGTTAGAGATATCCCGGAATGGTTTACGGATAAAGCAGAACTGTTCACCAGTATAAGGTTTGGTATTTTCCTTTCACTCCTCTTACATATATTAGTCACCTGCATCAGAGTGAAATAATGCTTTGGCTGAGTTGCATGTATGAAATATATTGTCGTAACAGTGAGTCAATAACTTCGCAATATGCAGTTGTCCAACTCTAAATAAAATAAATAATGAATGGACAAATTCCATATTTCCACCAAATAGCTTGTGAGTCCAGGAAAAGTAAAATAAGGTTACTTATTTTCAGCCTAGTATTCTTTCTCGCGTTAAAAGTTCTGGATGAGTCATAGTGGATTAGTGGGCACTGAAGCAACATCCCTCAGTTTAATTTTCGAAGGACTTCATCAAACTTGATACCGAAATTTTTGAATTTATTCACAAAGTCAGGGCTTTTGGCATGCCAATCTCATTGTAATCGGATATAATCCATGACAGGCGTACTGTAAAAAACATTCCGAAGTATGCTCCTGCACAGTTCTACATAGACAATGTATTACCTCGTGTAAAGGAGAAGAAGATAATGGCCTTGAAACCTTTTGTCGATCGACTGGGGTGAGTTTTCAGTTCCAATTAATGTGATTTTTTTTTTCCTTTCCATAACAATGTATGTGAGGATTTATATCTTCCTAGACATAACAATATTTAGTGATAGTTCTTTCAATCTTTCTTGTTTATAAGGTATGATAATGTCCCTCAAGAAATCAACAGGCTAAGGTGCAGAGTGAACTATCATGCTCTCAAATTTCTTCCTGAAATCGAGAACATGGCTGATTTGCTCGTATCTAGGATGAGAAATCGAACTGGTAGTTCAAATCCTTTCATGTAAGTGCATTGATTATCTTATTTAAGTTCCTTAAGTTACCATCATTTAATTTTTTTTCCCTCTTAAATGAAGGGTCTTCAATTTTTTCTCATAATAATCTTTTTTTACATACTTACACATGTATGCAGGGCTCTTCATCTACGATTCGAGAAAGGTATGGTGGGTCTTTCTTTCTGTGATTTCGTCGGAACTAGGATGGAGAAAGCACTAATGGCTATATACAGAATGAAAGAATGGCCTAGGCGCTTCAAGGTATCATATATTCAGGTCGAGATTTTCACGAGGCATCAAATAACATATAATCCAACTTGTATGATTTTTTTTTTCTGTACTACAGGATGGCTCTCATCTTTGGGCCTTGGCTCTTCAGAAACGGAAGGAAGGAAGATGCCCTCTCGAGCCGGGTGAGGTGGCGGTGATGCTTCGTGCAATGGGTTATCCTAAAGAAACTCAAATATACGTTGCCTCTGGGCAGGTTTACGGTGGACAGAACCGCATGGCACCACTTAGAAACATGTTCCCTAATCTGGTAAGTCCATTTGCTGAGTCATCTCTTGTTATCTTACAAATTGGCAATTAGTTTTCATCAAGTATCTATTACAGGTGACAAAGGAGGAATTAGCTGCCAAATTAGAGTTGGATGGATTTAGAAAACACGTGACAAGCTTAGCAGCTCTAGACTTCTTGGTCTGTCTGAAGTCCGATGTATTTGTCATGACACATGGAGGAAACTTCGCTAAGCTAATAATCGGGCATCGAAGATACATGGGACACCGTCTAAAATCCATAAAACCGGACAAGGGTTTAATGTCCAAATCTTTAGGTGACCCCTATATGGGGTGGTCCACATTCGTCGAGGATGTGATTGTAACACACCAAACACGAACCGGATTACCAGAAGAAACTTTCCCTAATTACGACATATGGGAGAACCCTTTGACACCTTGCATGTGTCGAACCTGATTTTATTTGATATTTGTGATAGTGTAGCACAGGTTAGTAGGAAGATTTGTCGGGAGCGCTAATGTTGAGACAAGATGTGAATCAACTTGGAATTCGTTTTTTTTTTAATTTCCGGAAGAGTTAGTTTCGCAGGGAAAGATTATATATAATACTGTGCAGGTGATGCAATTTTAGTAGGTCAGAACCTGCGAAGATGTTTGATGAGAAGTTTATGAATATGCAAATGTAGTCTTAATGAGGCTTGAAATTGGCCCCCCTCCCCCCACCCCCTTTTATATATATAAGATCTTCCATAGTAGGGGGGCGGAGATACTACATGGTTGTACTGGAATCTTGATGCATTTTTATTGTCATTTATGATGTAAATTATGATTGCATTTTATGAAATGCAAGTTTTTTAAAATTTTGACTGCATCTGTGGGGGTATATGTATAGTGTAAGTATTGCACTTTTTCAAATGCCTCATTATTTCATGTCTCTGTCACTTTGATTTTGATAATACTGTATGCCTTTCTTTTCAGTTTACCACTTCTAGAATGGATTGGGGTTTATGCAGTGACGCATGCTCTCTCTCTCTCTCTCACACACACACACACACACCCACCCACCCCAATGGACGTTATGATAATGAGTTCTACTTACTGTGGTGCTATTAATATGATATTTGACCAAGTCATTAACAACTGTAATTCACATTTTTTATTGATGAAAATAAGAGATTTTACATCCATTCATTCAAAGTATCCTGGTACAATGGCTCGTAAATTTACAAGAGATGTAAACTACACTGAACTAACTATGCGTGACGAGTTCGACATAGCTCGTAAATTTACAAGAGATGTAAACTACACTGAACTAACTATGCGTGACGAGTTCGACATATAAACGACACTGCATTCGTTAGTTCTTATTCATGATATTGCAATAATGAAGAAATGAAATTTTTATTGTTCCACCATCTTTCTTTGACCATAAGGAAGAAAGAAAGATGCCTTTCAACATTCAATCTTTTCTTCTTCCACGATTCGTTCCAATTGGCCAAGTTATTGCCATATACACATTTGTGGAAGTACAAAACTTGCACTCAACAACATCAACAAAAATAGTCAAGTTAATTAACCTAAAGTTGATGGGACAAAAGAAAATATATATTTCATTAAACAAAATCTTATCTTTTACATACTATGTATATGCAAATTAATGAAATTGAAAGATCGAGCATAATGATCACCATCAAGAACTATGCTATGTCGAGTAGATCTTTACCATTCACAAGTATACAAACACACATACACCCACGTTGGTGTGTGTAAATCAACCGTAAAAAACCATGTCAACCAGCTCACAATTCTTATAATAATTCATTCATTTTCCAATAAACTCTCTCTCACCAAATATTCTAAAGGAACCCTTTTCTTACATACGTTAAAGAAAGTCTAATTTATATTATTTATTTCCAATTTTTTTGGCGCCTTGTTTGGAATAAAATCATCATCCCTGCAAAAAAAATCTTGTCATCTCTTCTCAATTCTATCATCCTCATAGAAATTCCGCAATTCGAGGATCTTCCATTTTTACCAATTCCTCTCTCTCTCACACTTACACACACTTTCTCTCTCACACACACACAGACGCTGCAACATGGGGTCTTCTTCCATAACAAGATCCCACCTTTCTCCATCATTCTTGTTCGCAAAACCATTAAATTTTATCCCATCAACCCCTTCAAACATCCAACTAAATCCATCAAAAAACCCACCAATTTTAAGATTCGCGTTCAACAATCCCAAATCAAGAAAACCAAACCCTAAAAAATCCCCTCTCTCCTGCTTCACATTTCCGACAAAATCAACAACCACCGTCTCGGAAAAGGTAAAAATCCTAGATTTTGAGTTCAAATCACTGCCGGAACCAATCGACAGAGTCAGAAAGCTGCTGCACTACGCCGCCATTCTGCCACCATTCGACGAAGCCTCGAGAATTCAAGAAAATCGTGTCTTCGGCTGCACGACTCAGGTTTGGCTGGAAGCGAGGATGGAATCAAATGGGGTGATGAGATTCAGTTTGGACAGTGATTCTGAGATCACAAAAGGGTTCTGTTCTTGCCTGATATGGCTGCTCGACGGGGCCCACGCCGACGATGTTTTGAGTGTGAAAGCAGAGGATTTGGTCGAGATGAACGTTGGGCTGCCGAGCAGGGGCAATTCCAGGGTGAACACGTGGCATAATGTGTTGATCGGTATGCAGAGGAGAACTGTGGATCTTGTTGAGCATCATCAGTCTTTAGATCCCCTGTTTTCTTCTTGTTCTTGATGTTTTAGATTTCTTTTGATTTGATTTTAATTTTGGGTAATTACCGAATTGCCATAGTGGGATTTGTACATTGTAGTGATGTTGTTTGCTGCCAACTTTCTGCATAAAAAATGCTATATACTTTGTTAGTGAAAGTTGTTTGCAGCTCTCTGTTCTTGCATTTAATTACATCAAAATGATGAAAATTGAATTAATTTTACAATAAATTACGACAACCAATGAGATATGGTCAAACTACGTAAAAAAAAACTTAATCTTTTTGAGTAAGTACAACCATCTTACGGTGTAAGATTTCACATAATCTTCCAAAATTCGTGTAATATTTTTTAGTTTACACTCATTTTGTACAAAAATGCAGTATCTGATGTACCACAATCTGATATTTACAGGGCAAGAGACATTTTTTACGATCATCTTGTTTCACAATGTGGAGCTCGAATGGGGTAAAACGAGTACAAACTGAAGAATATTCCACGTAATCTAGAAGATTCCACTAAATTTGATACCGCAATGGTGAACATGACAGATTCTAGTGACATGAAAGGTTGTTTTCGTAATTTAATCTTACTTGGAGTGACGGTAATTTATCCATTAATAATTAATTTATGAAGATTAATCTATTTTTAAGTGGGAAAGTAAAAAAACGGGCTGGAAGCTAACAAATAAAGTAGGCAGCCCGGCCCACAAATAGTTTAAATTTCATCTTTTTTGGGCTCTCTTTGAAATTGGGCCTATAATTGTAAATTGGGCCGGTCACTGGTAATCATTTACAAACCTTTTTCTTTGAATAAAAGATATATACTTTGATATTTCCACGTCACTATCTCGCCCGAGCCCCACTAATATTCCTCCACGTCATCAAGCTCAGGTGGGAAACGAAAGAATCTTTTTTCGCCCCCACCGTCCCACTCGACCAATCAGCGTGGCCCATCACCCACCCCCGCCGCACGTGCAACCACGCGCCTCTACATGCTCACGTTGGAGAAACATATATCATTCATTCCTTTTCTTAGCTCTAAAGTTTTTTCAAAATTCAATTTCTTTTGGAGTTCAAAATATTTAGGAAAACTCTCTGCGATCTGCAATATATATATATGCATATATATATACATCACACTTCCCCCTTTTGAAAAATAGTTTTTTAAATCCGAGATTTTTTAAACGAATTTCTCAATTTTGAAAATGTCGAAATCGCCATGGGGGAACGTCGGCAACTGGGCGGCGGAAGCCGAGCGCGCCGAGGCCGAGGAGCGAGAAGCCGCGGCGGCGCAGCCGCCGCCAGTCAGCTTTCCCAGCCTGAAGGAATCCGTCAGCACCGCCAAGCTGAAGAAGAAGACGAAAATGAACCTGGCGGAGTTCATGATGCAACAGTCCACCGATTCCGGCTCGCTCCGCCTCCCCACCGGCCCCAAGGAGAGGTCCCCCGACGAAATGCAGCACGGGAGATTAGGCGGCGGGTTTTCCAATTACGGGTCGCGAACCGGATCCTCGGGCCCTAATTCGGGTCGGACAGGGAACTACGAGGGTCGGAGGTCTTACGGTTACGAAGACGATGACCGGAGGGGGTCCCTCCCCCAATCTAGGGTTTCTGAATTCGATCAACCCTCGCGAGCTGATGAGGTTGACAATTGGGCTTCGATGAAGAGACAAACCCTACCCGACGAACGCGATTCGCGTCAAGCCCGACCCGGGGGAAAGTACAGCTCACTCGGCGGTGGTGTGGGCTCCGGCGCTGCGTCACGGGCGGATGAAGTAGACAATTGGGCTTCTTCAAAGAAGCCCATTTCACATACACAGCCACAAACTAGATCTTCCAGCTTCGTGTCGGGCTTCTCCAGGCCCGATTCTGATCGTTGGACTCGTAATGAACCAGAGCAGAAATTATCTTCGAACCCTCCGAAAAATGAGGTTGAAACGCCGGTGAAAGTGAATAGACCGAATCCATTTGGGGTGGCAAGGCCAAGGGAAGAAGTGTTGGCGGAGAAAGGTTTGGATTGGAAGAAGCTCGATTTGGATATTGAATCGAAGAAGCAGCAGAGTTCAGTTACTGGTGGGAGTAGTAGGCCCACAAGTTCTCAGTCAAGTAGGTCAGAGACCCCCATGGGTGAAGTAACGGTGAAGCAAAAACCGAAAGTGAATCCGTTTGGGGATGCTAAGCCGAGAGAAGTTTTGCTGGAGGAGAAAGGCTTGGATTGGAAGAAGATCGATCTTGAGTTGGAGCATAAACGAGTTGATAGGTAAACCCTTCGATTGTGCAATTCATTTTTGGTTCTGGCATTTCATCGTTTAAGTAGTGCTGTGTGTGTATGTTTTGTGATTTAGTGTCCGTTTTGTGGTGGAATTGCATGTTTTGCAAATTGTGATGTACGCAGTAAGTTATTTTTCTCGTGTATTTGGTTTAATGAGATAAGGTTTGTCAAGAATCGTAATGTTGAAGAGGGCTGTGGGGTTGAGTCGAGAGTGAAGTATTTGAGTATGGCGGTGGAACGATATTTCAATTTGGTTGAGTTATGACTTATTAAATTGAATAAATGTCGAAACATGGATATAAGTTTTTAATTATTCAATTTGGTTGAGTTATGACTTATTAAATTGAATAAATGTCGAAACATGGATATAAGTTTTTAATTATTGTATGATGGGATCATGTTTCAGGCCCGAGACAGAAGAAGAAAAGAACTTGAAGGAAGAAATCGAACATCTGAAAAATGAACTGCAACAAAAATCCGGCGAAGAACAAACCAGTGTGCAAGATCTAATACTTCAAAAACAGCAACATTTGGAAGTTCTTGTTCATCAGTTGGATGACAAAGTTCGTTACAGTCAGAAAATCTTTGAGAGGCAGAATTCGAGACCTCCTTCTCGACCTGGATCACATGACGGGCCTAGATCGGGCTTTCCCGAGAGACCTTCTTCCGGTCCCCGCCCGTATGAAGATCCTCGTTCGGGCTTTCATGAGAGGCCCCGTTCTAGGCCCGGGGCCTACGAAGAGAATAATAGATCTGTATATCCTCAGAGATCTTCTATTACACATGGAGCGTATCAAGAACAATCGAGAGGTGGAAACTACAACGAGAGGCCTAGTTCACGAGGAAGTACGGATTCCTGGACAAGAACAACATTTGAAGGTGGCAACAGAGATGTGGACAGGTACACTTTCTCTTCGACATTTCCGTGTTTTCAGATTCTTTTGATTATACCACCTTTTTAACGTTCTTGAATCAACTTCTCGATTTTATGAAAACATAGTTAGTTTTCTCTTGATGTTATAACTGATTTATAACAAGCGATGTTGCAATTCGTTGGATGAGAAGTAGTAGAGTTTAAAAAGTTCGTTCAAATGTATGGTTTATGGTCTATTGGTGATTGACCCCTATGATCATTTCATTTTGCAGGTCGGGGTCAAGGTGGTAATTTTGTGGATTCTCGAGGGTTATTATTCGAAATATCGTGTATTTGTCCTCTGGCTAGTTAGAATGCAGCAGTATTTTGGCTCAACACTCATTTTCTCATAATTTTGCTGTGAGGAATGAACTATATATGTTTAGTGCTGGCACATACAACTATTGCATCTTCATCATTGTATTGTAAAATTCACCTTTTAATTTATTTATTATATGTAATTGGTTGGATTAATTATTCATATTCTTGCTAGCTAGTTCTATCTTAAACACTGTTGATTTATTTTGATTTAATAGGGGTTATTTAAGCATAAAGTTAAGGGTAAATTACGCCCACCCCCTTAAGGTACAGTCAAATTACGAAATCCTCCCTCATGTTTGGGTAATTATACTCATCCCCTTCAACTATGGATCTTCTTATATGTTTCACCCTTGTAGTGTCAAATTTAGTGAATATTCTAGATTATATGGAATATTCTTCAGTTTTTACCTGTTGTACAACATTCGAGCTCCACATTTTGAAACAAGTTTATCATAAGATAGATGTGTCTATTGATTTGTAAATATCAGATTGTTGTGGTGCATTATAAACTGCATTTTTGCCACAAACGAGTACAAGCTAAAGAAAATTTTACGGAGTCGAGAAGATTTTGTTGAATTTGATACGATAAGGGTGGACGTGTAAGAAGATTCATAGTTGAGTTGAGGGTAGTTGTAATTACCCAAACATGAGGGTTTTTTCGTAATTTGCTTATTTTGAAATAAACAAATTCTTTGTTTAATTTAGAATAAATTAATGCTTGCTTTGAAACTTTATGGTTTGTTGTCTTGTATAGTTTTCAAACTGAAAAAATATGCTCGTCTTTTAGTAGGATTAAATATAATAATATAAATTAATCTTTCTTCTCTTACATCTGTGGCCGATCGTTTTATACTACACACCCGTGTCGGAAGAAAAAGATTAATGGAGTTTTATCATCTCAAATTCCAAACCCTTGTAATAATATTTGCCACATTTCTCCCTAACCCATTATTTTGCTCGGAAAACTGCAATTTTCCGGCCATCTTCAACTTCGGCGACTCCAATTCAGACACCGGCGGCCTCTCGGCGGCGTTCGGCCAAGCTCCTCCGCCCAATGGAGAGACCTTCTTTCATGCCCCAGCTGGCCGCTTCTCCGATGGCCGTCTCCTCATTGATTTCATCGGTACATTCTCTCTCTCTCTCTCTCTCTCTCTCTGATATTAAAAATTGATTATTCACAACTCTAGAATTAAATTATACACAATTTATTTATTTATTGCATCAGCTGAAAAAATGGAGTTGCCTTATCTGAGTGCATTTCTTGATTCAATTGGCTCAAACTTTAGCCATGGAGCTAATTTCGCAACTGCTGGTTCAACAATCAGACCTCAGAACACCACCATTTCACAGAGCGGTTACAGTCCGATTTCTCTCGATATTCAACGTGTTCAATTCTCCGATTTCGTAACAAGATCGCAGATTATTCGTAAAAAAGGTACCTTTTAATGTATGCCGTATTATATTTGTCTGAATTCGAAGTCGAATTATCTGTTTCCTTCTTACCTGTGTTTAATTCCATGAAAAAAAAAGAAGGGTTCTTTCGGAATTTGTTGCCGGACGAGGACGTATTTTCTCGAGCATTGTACACGTTCGACATAGGGCAGAATGATCTCACTGCTGGTTATAAACTCAACTTGTCCACTGACCAAGTTAAGGCTTATGTTCCTCGTGTATTAGAACAATTCTCCGATGTAATTCAGGTCAGAAAAAAAAATGCAATCTTTACTATATATATATATATGTATGTATATTTATATATAATAATATACACCGATTCTTGAACAGAAATTGTACGGTGAAGGAGGAAGGTCGTTTTGGATACACAACACGGGACCAGTTGGTTGTTTGCCGTATATTATGGACAGGTTTTTAGTTACTGCAGCACAGATCGATAAATACGGCTGCTCGATTCCATACAACGACGTTTCGCAGTACTTCAATCTCCGACTAAAAGAAGCTGTTTCGGCATTGAGGAAGAAACTTCCAATGGCTGCTATTACATACGTCGATGTTTATTCCGTCAAATATTCCCTCATCGCCCATGCAAAGAAACTAGGCAAATTTAAAATTTTTTTTTTAATTAATTATATAATTAATATATATATATATATATATATATATATATATATATAGATATATATATAGATAGATAGATATATATAGATATAGATATAGATATATAAATATATAAGCTTATTTATGTGATGAAATGATGACAGGATTTGAGGATCCATTTGTAGCTTGCTGTGGTCATGGAGGGAAATATAACTACAACAGGTTTGCTAAATGTGGGAGTAAGAAGATTGTTAATGGCACAGAGATTGTGATTGCTAAATCTTGCATTAATCCGACGGCTCGGATTAATTGGGACGGAACCCACTTCACCGAATCAGCCAATAAATGGATCTTTGACCAAATTGTCAACGGTTCGTTTTCCGACCCCCCTTTACCTCTTAACTTCGCCTGTAATCGAATGAACATCTGATAATTTTTATCTTTAATGGATCTTGTCTTCAAGTAATATACATTTGGATCGACGTGGTTAGTTTTATAAACCTCGATAATGGTTTAAATCGACTATCATTACCGTAATATCGTCCAAACTGCCCCTACTGACAGCAAGACTAACAAGCTCCTTACAAGCAGCCATTAGCCCACCCGATTTCTCGATCAAGACTTGGTTCTCATTGGTCGAAAAATGGTTCTTGATCTTCGTTTTTTTCGCCACTGTAATTCTTCGATACTTAGACGGAGGCGGGCTTCGGTTTTCACAATCTTCACTTCTTTCCTGTCGAAATCTCCTGTTTGATGTAACGAGTTGTTTCTTGTTGCTGTCTGAAGAACACGAACGAATCACGACGTCTACCGCTTCTTGATTGCTGACCTGTCATTAGTAGTCGAATCAATAATTTACGTCCCGTGGTTTACGCAAATAAAAAGAAAAAAATCGACGCTTGATATCGGGAAATATGCTACCTCATCCCAAAGTCCATCAGATGCTAAGACAAGATATTGCATCTCTGATGTTAGACAAACAACCTTGGTGTCGGGTTCCGCCGAAACCCAATCTTTCAGATGAGAATCTCCGATGCTTCTAGAAACTGCTAGAGTTCCGTGAACTCTCCAAGTCCCCCGATGAATCTCCACATATCCACCCTGTTTTAAATTAGTCCGAAAAAATCTAATTTAAAGAAAATTTAAAAGTTCGACGAAACAAAAATAAAATTTTACTTTATCTTGAATTCGGCTTCGTTCGTCTTCTCGAGTTGGTCTATGATCGGTCGTAAGAGGTTCAGCCACACCACCCCTGCACAAAACTGCTCTGCAATCTCCCAAATTCGAAACCACCATTTCTTTTTCTTCGATCAGAGCAGTTACGCAACAAGCACCGCTACCGATGCCCTGCAATTATCGGTATTCTCTACTAAGAAGCACGGAAACAAAAAATACTGTATAAACGACGTGTAAAAGATCCGATTTTTATCAACTATATTACCTGTTTCAAGAATTGTTCATCAGTTTTCAAATACCCTGCCTTAACAGCTTCTTCCTTTGCTTTCTTTTCGGAAATATTGTCCAAATTTTCGAAAATGTTCAGATGCAAATTCTCTGCAACAAACTCTACAGCCTTGCTTCCTCCATGCCCATCATATACCCCAAAGAATCCCTACCACATTTTTCACAATACTCCAATTTCACCAAAAACTAAAAATAAATAAAAATAGGGTAAATTACGACCCACCCCCTGAGGTAAGGTCAATTTACATAAATACCCCTCATGTTTGCGTAATTGCAATCACCCTCAACTATGAATCTTCTTGCACATCCACTATTACACGCTCCACATTTTGAAACAACATGATCATAAGATGTGTTTCTTAACTTGTAAATAGCAAACCGTGGTGCATCTGAAACTGTTTTTGCACAAAACGAGTACAAAACTAGAGAACATTCTACGGAATCTAGAAGATTCTGTTGAATTTGACACCATAATGATGTACGTGTAAGAAAATTCATAGTCGATGGTGGTTGTAATTACTCAATCACGAGGGGTTTTTTCGTAATTTAACTTTACCTCAAGGGTGGCCGTAATTTACCTCTGAAAAATACTCACTTTCCCTTGCATAATGCACATGATATTCTAACAAGAACAACAAATAAAAGTAGAGTCTTGCTGCCACTACTAATACCTTATTACCATTGGAAGAAGAAGAAGAAAGAATCTTGTGAGAATCTTCCATGAATTTTTTCTTGCCCTTTAAGGAAAAAACACCGACCCCAGAATCAGCAAAGCACACAACAGCTGCACCACCGTCACCTTTCTCCCGTGCGCCGCCGCCGCCGCATCCCTTGAAAGTATCAGTAGAAACTTCGCGCAGAACATTTGGGATCTCAATTCGGGGCGGTCTCTTTCTCTTCAGCCCATTTGAAACCGACCCACCATTTTTCTCTGCCATTTCTTGGCTGTCTTAAGCTCGAAACGCCTGCAATAATTGTAACTACGCATCAAAGAATTAAAATGGAACTGAAAGAGTGAAATGTATGTATGTATGCTTTTACGTTGAAACGGTGTTGGTGTAACGGCTAGAAAAATTCACGGCAGTTAAGGTCAAGATTATTGGTTGAGACTTTGAATTTTGTTTGTCTGAGACTGAGAGCCGTTACGGAACGGAGAATTAGAAGACGATGAGTCAAAAACTTTGAATATTTACTCAAATAATTGGGATTTAACATTTTAAAAAATGAATAGTAATGAATTTTATATACAAAATTTAAAGTATTTGGCGAAAAGAGTGGCTGTACACTCAGTCAAAATCATGCTCCATTAATCTTCAAACACTAATTATCAAGAACGTAGAAACTAAACTATTAGTAGTATTAAATATTCATGGCCAGTTCAAATTGCAGCATTTTTTTTTAATTATTTTGATCGTTTATTATTTTCTTTTCTTTGTGAAAATAACCATGGAGTTTGAACCTTATTTTGAACATTTTTTTTTTGGTTTAAATTACAATTATCCCTGAGGTATTACGAAAACACTCCTCCTGTTTGGGTAATTACAATCACCCCTCAACTATAAATATATTTACACGTCCACTCCCTATTTGGGTAATTACAACCACCCATCAACTATAAATATATTTACACGTCTACCCCCTGTTTGGATATAACAACCACCCCTCAACTATAAATATATTTACGCGTCCACCCTTGCGGTTTCAAATTTAGCGGAATTTCCGAGATTATACGGATTATTATCACTTTTGTACCCACTTTATTCTATTCGAACTTCACCTTTTGAAGCAAGATGATCATAATATGTGTTTTTCGGCTTGTATATATCAGATTTTGATGTATCAGAAACTGTATTTTTACACAAAATGAGTACAAACTAGAGTACATTCTACGAAATCTAGATGATTATGTTGAATTTGACACCATAAGGGTGAAGGCATAAGAAAAAATTATAGTTCATGGGGTTAGATGTAATTATCCACACAAGAGGGGTTATTTCGTAAATTAACCATACATCAGGGGTAATTGTAATTCACTCTCTCTCTTTTTTTGGTTAAAAATATTTGAGAGCTGATTTGAAAATAAATTTTATGATACTTGTGTAGCCTAAATGACTCAGTTACGAATTGAAGATGTGGGTTGGGCCTGAAGACTGAAGTGAGAAAAGCCCAAATAAAAAGAAGTCCATGCGCTCCGAGAGACATGCAAAAAGAGAATGTCGGTGAGGGTTTTCGGTGTTAGTACTCTGACGATCAGGTCAGTGGAATCATAGAGAAACACTATAAGAATATATTAAAAAAATTATAATAAGAATATGTGTATTAGGAATATCTCGGAGAGAGTCTTGTCACTCCCTTGTGCTACTACGAGTTGCGCTTGTCTGCTGAGGACGAGCTATCTTGCTCCCTGCAATCTGGGTCAGTTCAATGGAGAGAGTCCGACGCGTGGTCTGATCGCTCGTGGATTATGTCGTAAGTGAGCCTCTCCCCGATCCAGTGTTTCGGTTTTTCGGCCTATATAATTAATTTAGCTAGCATTAGTCCAAATCTTTGAATATCCGATGTAGAAAGAGGTGAAAATCGGACGAATCACTTTTTTTGTTAAAATCAACTTATTTTTTTCAAAAGTGAATATTGGAAAAAAGGGAAAATTATTAATTGTTGGGATTCAAAATTCCTGCACTACATAAAAGACACTATGAAAGACAACTCATCCCTCCTTAAAGTTTGCCTTAATTGCCTAACATAAAAAATCCAGGTTTTATTGTTTTAGACCGATTGCTTTGTTTTATTTGTTAACTCTCCATTTGAAACTAATTAACCATTATTAATAATGATTTAACCCTGTTTTTACTCGCTAATCACACATTCTTTACCACTAAAAAAAGTTCACGATTTTATTCAGTGTAAGAATTTCAGTTGCCCGTTGACGTGACATGTTCATGCAATTACTGCAAGCCCTGTCAATAACCCCACGTTTCTTCTACTTCTCAAAGTCGTCTCTCTCTCTCTCTCTCTCTCTCTCTCTCTCTCTCTCTCTCTCTCTCTCTCTCTCTCTCTCTCTCTCTTTCTCTCTCTCTCACTCTGATTTCTCTCGTGAATTAAATCCCACCTTTTTTTTATTAATCAACAAAATTCTCAAGAATCATTTCTGGGTTATTTCTTTTTTCCGCCACTAATCTACTGAGGTACTTACTCTTACCAATTACCATGATGGCAAAAATCGGACATAGGTTTGTTCTTATAAGCATGTATGCCTCAAGTATATATTTTGCATACTATATACTATGATATTTTTTGTAATTTTAGTTTTTTTAATTTATTACTTTTGTCTAATTGTTCCGTCAGCACAATGATTAAAAATCCAAATGAATGTATCAAGATTCTAATTACAGTTAGCATCGGAATCGTGTTTGGCTTCTTCATAGGATTGTCGATTCCATCACTTCAATCGACCAAGGTACATAAACGAGACTCTGCACTTTAATTTTTTCAACTCGAAAAACATGAAATCGAGTTAAGTTCTTTTAACATCGTCGTTCTTTCTTTGTCAGATAAATATCGCCATCGATAACAAAGCCGCTATCGACTCTACTCGGAACCGTAAAAACACCTCCGACGGAATCTTGAAAGATAATATAAAGAAGGTTTCTGTTTTTTACTTAGCATGAGTATTATTCCTAAATAAAACTTTACAATTACCGAACGATTCCGATTTCGATTTACCAGATTTGGACCCCTTCAAATCCAAGAGGCGCAGAAAGGTTGCCTCGGGGAATAGTTGTCCCGGAATCGGACTTATACCTCCGTAGATTGTGGGGCCTACCTAGCGACGTAAGCATTTTAATCCATATCGTAATTATATTTTACAATATTTATAGTGTCGATTTTTTTTAATTCGTTTTAGTGTTGCATTGCCTCAGGATTTGCCAAGGAAACCAAATTATCTTGTCACTTTTACTGTTGGTTATGACCAAAGGAACAACATTGACATGGCAGTGAAAAAAGTCGGTTATCTCTCGGTTTATTATTTTTTTCGTTTTTATTTTATATTATTTTTATTTTATTTCTCACTAGATGTGTTGTTGCTATAGTTTCCAGACAGTTTTACGATTCTCTTGTTTCATTACGACGGACGAACGAACGAATGGGATGAGTTTGAGTGGTCCAAGAGAGCCATTCATATTAGTGCTACAAAACAAACCAAATGGTAAAAAAAATAATAATTTTTTTTTTCTTTGAAAATCGAACACTAATGTAAAAATCTGAGTTAATTATTTGTATCGACGATGAATATTTGTGTGTATATATATATAAGGTGGTATGCTAAAAGGTTTCTGCATCCGGACATTGTTGCCCCTTACGACTACATATTCGTTTGGGATGAAGACCTCGGCGTCGAGCATTTTAATGCAGAAGAGTAAGCCTGATCAATAATCAATAATCTCAATTTTTCGGAGTTCGTAAATAAATAATTGATCTTCCATTTATTAAAAAAAAAATCAAGATATATTACGCTTGTGAGGAAGTACGGTTTAGAAATTTCGCAACCTGCTATCAAACCGAACAAGATAGCACCTTGGAAGATGACAAAAAGGCGAAACAATAGTGAGGTCCACAAGTAAGTGAATACGAGACATGTATCTTTTGTTTTCGTATTATTTACGAGCGACGTACACGTACGCACAGTGAGATATAATCATATAATATACAACTATACGTACAATTTTTGTGTTTTGTTTTTTTGTCTGATTGTAGGGAGACAAAGGAGAGGCCTGGCGTTTGCTCGGATCCCCATTTGCCTCCGTGTGCAGCGTATGTATTTATTTTCTAAATTTTTCTTTTGTAAATAAGAATGTTCGTCTTTTCTTTAATTGGTTTTAGATTCAGAAATCAAATTTGTCTTTATTTAACGCAGGTTTGTAGAAATAATGGCTCCCGTCTTTTCTCGAGATGCATGGCGATGCGTGTGGCATATGATTCAGGTTTTTTTTTCTTCGATTTTGGAAAAAAAAAACTCAAAAATGATGTATATATATTCTTCGTGTAATTTATATATTTACTCGTGATTCTTTTATACTCGAAAATTGCAGAATGACTTGGTCCATGGATGGGGACTCGACTTTGCCCTCCACAAATGTGTCGACGTAAGTTTCCTTCTAATTGTTTATAAGTTTGTAATAACGTTCTACAAACGTGTTGAATTAAGTAAGTTTCTATGTATATATAGCCTGCTCATGAAAAAATAGGAGTTGTGGATGCACAATGGATCGTTCATCAAACTGTTCCTTCGTTACGCAACCAGGTAAATTAGCCTCGATCTTTTCGGTAAATATTATGTATCGTGAAATATTTAAATAGACGAATACATATCAACTTTCGCCTAATCCTTTCACGGGGGACAGGGGCAAAGCAGAGAACGGGAGTTTCTCCGTGGCAAGGGGGGACTTACTGTACTCTAATTATATTTGTATATATATATATATATATATATATATATATATATATATATATATATATATATATATATATATATATATATAGATGAACACCATGTGTTGTGCACATGTGTTATGACAAAGTACATGCGTGCGCGTAGAGGAGAGACAGAGGTGTAAAAGAGAGTGGACGATAGTCAGTGCTCGAATGGACAACGCCGAGAAAGCTTATTACAAGTCATTAATGTCTTCCAATCTCACAGGCCAACGATAGACGAGTGTAATTTTTCATTTAGTCGTTGCTACAGCACGTAAATCGTGAGATACATACATATATATTAGCAGATACACGCGTTTTATATATGGATGAGGAGGCTCTACCCCAATACCTCTTCACTCTTTATACATATATATATATATATTTATAAATATATATAGTTATTTCGAAGCTCGTTTTTTTTTCAGTCAACAATGCCCTTGCTTTCCCAGACAGGGCGCCTCGCAGCGACGTGGGGCCCGTGATTAGCCCGATATCCGCCGTGCATTAATCCAGCATTGTAACTATGCTGATCGTGATTACCAATACCGTGTTGCTGCTTGTTTTTCATGTTGTTCCAATCATTGTTTTCGTTACGCCTGTCTTTCTCGTACCAGGTTTCGGAATACCTGGCGGCACTGTAGCCTTCGCCGCCATGCTTGTTCTGATTATGATGATTATTATTATTATTGTAATCGTGGGCCCCACCATAAGTATAACCGCCACCATAGCCATGCTTGATGTTGTGAGCATCATCATATTCACCATGGCCTTTGTTATGGCCATGCTTCATGTTATGATTATCGTATTCGCCATAGGCTTGATGAGCATGCATGTTCATGTGATCACCGTAGCCATGCATTTGATTGTTAACGTAGCTAGGGTTTGCGGTGGTCGGCTTGACCATCATATGCATGCTCGATCCTTTGTTGTAGTGATGATCGTCCTTCATCATATAGTCGACTTCTTCCACCACCGTGTAGTACTCTTCTTTGTACCCGCCACTAGGATACATCTGCATTTTTCTTTATTTTTTATTTTTTATTTTTTATTTTTATTTTTCGCTTGCTGGTTCTTGATTTGCTGTTGTGTGAGGAGGAGATGGAAATCGAGATGGCTACTTATAGTTTTTTTTATATTTTAAATAAACAAAATTCCAGTTCGATGAGGAGGCATCGGATTCGCGATTTCGAAAAATGTTTATATAAAAAAAAATTACGTATCGAATTCGATTCCCACTTACGAAGAATCGGAGATTGTGGTGGTCCATTTTATGGTATAAGGACAGGAATTTCTTGGCCATGAGATGTGTTTTTGTTCATTGAAAGATTATTATTACATACATATGATTTTCTGTGGACAGTATTTGATTTGGCTTATGCTGTTAATTAATTAATTAATATCTAATAATTTTCATAAATAAATTTAATGACAGATATGCAGAGTCAAATGATTATCTTCTTGATAGCATATTTGAACATGCCAACTTTAAATTGAATAGTAACGCACATCACAAATTATTAAGGGTATCAGATTCCCTCTTCATTTTTTCTATCTTTAATTTACACACAATCACACACACATACACACGGATGTGTGTAAAAAATATATATATATGAATCTATATGCACATGTATAGTATATAATCCTGTGAAGTTCAATAAATTTGCACCACACACACACACACACACACACACACATTGCACTACTTTTCGAAGGTATGGCGTAAAGCAGTCGAATCACATCCGTAACGAGAAAACGAGTAAAACTAGTTACAACAACTTGTTCATGTCACAGCCGATTAATTTCCCATTTAAACGCATCAAAACTATCGATTCGCACGAAAATCAAACTCTTAAGCAAAAAAAAAAAAATATGTACAGAAACTCACTCTAGAAAATCCGAAGATTATGTCCAATTTTACGAAGGAAAAAAAAAGAGACGCCTGTAAAAAAAAAGGAAAAAGAATGATATACGTAAGGGCTCTGGACATGTAGCATGGTTATAAAAGCAATCCACGCACAGTCATCATCAAATCGGTTAAACGAATACCCCCTTCATCGAGAGCCAAATCTTCACTTCAAACCGATACAATCAAGTATACGGTTTTCTTTTTTTCTTTTTCAGTTAATTTAAATTCCACATAATTCAACCACTCTCTCTCAAGCAATTCCCGGGCAGAAGAAACTTAAGCTGATCCGCTTCCTCCAATAAATACGCAGGCAAATGAACGGCCGAATACGAATGTGGAATAGACCCCATTTTCCCGATTATTTCCTTGAAGGTATATTCCTCGGGCAACATATCGAACAAGTCAGCACCTTTACATATCACACGTTGAATTCTTTTCGGGTTCAAGAAATGAGAAAACCTAACCCTATCCACATGGCTATAAGCTTTCATCTTGAATATAAACTCACTTATGTACCGAAAACAGAAGCTGCAATGCCACCCCGCATCGGCCAAGATCACATCCGACTGTCTGTAATGCGCGTACTTTGTTTTGCCCGATTGATAAATATGAACCGAAGCCCTCCAGCTGTTATTATCGAGAAGAAACTCGAACGAGTATAAATAATTCTTCAATCGGAGATGAAGTACAGGTGGCACCCCGTCGCACCACCTCAGTAAATTAATCGTGTGCCGACTAGGTATTTCGTCAACATCCGACATTATCAATAAATCGTCATCTTGAATACCAGCTTGCTTGAGAAGATAATCCAACGCCAGCCTCTGATAAGCTTCTTCGACAAACGGGTTTTCGCCCGCCCGGAACCTGCCCGGTACCCGCCCGTAATTCAATCTGGGCTCGAGGAATTTGAACTGGTCTCTAATTTTTGAAAAGACAAACGGCTTTGGAAGTCCAGTGAAGGTCGAATTCGATTCGAGAAGCACAAACTCCGTTACGTGAGGGTACAACTCTTTCCAACGAATCTTGAGCATGTCGATTTCGTTGCTGAACAAGACCGCGTCGAAGACTCTCCGAGGGAATTCGCGGGTCCCCCAGCCATGGAGCTTGCAGAGGTTTTCCATCGAGACGTTTTCATGGTAGTAGTGGGGGATCTCGTGGAAGGGCTTCGGCGGAGATTCCCATAGCGGCCGGAGAAAGTAGGTTATTTTTTGGCCGTGCATGTATATTACGAATACGCACGTCGGGATTAGCATGAAGAGGAATATGTATGCTTTTATATCTGCTCCGCGAAGAATGCACTTTAATCTCGTCATGCTCAATGTTCGACTCGAATCCTGCGATTTTTTCAAGAACGCAGCAGCAAATTAATAGATGCACAAAGGATGTTTTTGTGATTAACTATTAGATAATTTAATTCAACTGAATTTTAGCAGCAGCACAATCAAATGCAGAAGAAGGACTGAACAATCAAAAGAAAAACAAAAAGGACCTAACACAAAATTAAATCAGAGGATCTCAAATCTTATTTACGAAAAAACCACAGAATGGAAAATTCGATCTACTCGGCTACTCCCATTAATTAAAAAATAAAAAAACAATAAACCCACAACATGGAAAAGGCAACCCAGAATCGTGAATCTGCAACAGAGGATCAATACCCAGAAAAGTGAAAATAAAAATCAAGTCTTTTTCAGTTCATACATAAACAAAAAATGGGGGAGAAGATGGAATGTTTACCTCACGCGCGTCGCCGCATATATCATCGGTCTTCTTCGAACAATAATGAGATCCCCCTTCAGCCATCGTACATACTTTCTCCCAAATTCTCGATACACTGCACATATCTTCCTCTCACCCTCCCTTTCTCTCTCTATATATATATGTATATGTATCTATCACCCTCGCGAAATGCAACCCAGATGAAATTAAATTGAGGAGAAAATAAAACCCAAATGGAGATCTGTGTTCAATAGTTGAAGAATTCAGACAGACGAGGAGGATGGAAAGGGTACAAACAGCCCTGAAATTATTTTTGGTAATAGGTTCAGAAGAGAGAGAAAGAGGGGTAGAGAGAGAAAATTTAGGGATTTGAAGAGAAAAACATATAAATTTAGAATTAGAAGACAGAAAAGGGAAAAACCAGAAAGGAGGTGAATGGGTGGCAGTTGTCAAGATTACAATGAAAATGAAGCCGTTTCTATTGTCTTCTCTTCTTCTACCCCACTTTCTTCTATACAGCCAATTTTTTATATATATATTTTTATTTTTATTTTTATTTTTATTTTTAAATTGATGTTTGGGGGAATACTTAGTTGAATTTACTATAATGCCCATGAATATTCAGGACTATTTCTAACTAACAATTGATAATGTCATCTTTCTTCGTCATATAAATCAATATTTTTTCTAATTAACAATGGATAATATTTTATTGGGATAGGCCTAATCCCTTGCCTATAGGCCCCCTTCCTCTGGCCCGATAATTTTTTTTTATGGAAAAATGTAGATTATGGTAACTTATCGGCCCGTTAGAGTAATGAATTTGGATCTTGTGCTCACAAGAAACCAACACTCAAGACCTGCACTACGGCTGTCAGTAATCGATTATTGGACTTTGCACTAACTTACCACATTGAAACCAATTGAACTATACTCACATGGAATCAAACACTTACGTTCTTCAAATGACTCGACGCAGTCAATAAAAATTGACAAGGTTCAATTGGTCTGAGTTAGCGACGTATTTGAGAGAAAATATGTTAAAAAAATGATTGAAGTATAAATTAGCACATACATCTAGTAAGCAATTAAGTTATTTATATATAATGATGCTTAAGTTAGATCACCTTAGAGAGTTGAAGTAAGATGAGTTGGAAGAGCAAAGTGGATCACTGGCTCACGAGCTTGATGACCTTGAGATACCTGCGATCATAGAAGACGTAAACTAAGCGGGGGTTGATTCGGCGGATACCCCTCCGACATTCAAGTCAGACGTGCGGATGGTAGAAATAGTCCAGATAATACATGTTGTAGTATTGTTCAGATAATATGACGTATCTTAAGGAATGAGTTCAAACATTTATTTATACCTCATTGATTGGGCTGAAGTTTAATTAGTTGAAATTGTCGGGCAAAAACCTTATTTGAAGATGATTGGACATCGATAGTAGTAGTAGTCAATATTGGGCTCGTGACCCAGTAGATAAAGAAATTGTAGGCCTATTGAGTTGGCTTAATTAAGCATATCAATATACTTGATCAATTTACTTATTAAGAGGCCCGAAATTAAATTAACAACATCCCATAAATGATTTAATTTCATATAATGGTGTTTTTTTTTCTTCAATTGGGCACATTTCAGAAAATAGAGGTATTTTGTTTTTATTTGAAATACTTTGAAAATGAATTTTAGCATTTGGCATATAGATTAGGACCAATGGGGCTGCACATGGTCTACTAATCATTGACATGTTGTAGATTAAGAGCCCGTTTGGCTAAGCTTATAAGCTCCTAAAAACATCTTATAAGATGTTTAGGAGCTTATAAGTTGTTAAAAGGTGTTTGGTAAAAAAATTGCAAAAGATCTTATTTTTTCAAAAAATAAGCTGTTAAGGAGCTTATAAGATGTTTTTTAAAAAGTACCTCTACCCCACCTTTTTTCTTTAAGATCTTATTTGCTTCTTTACTAAACACTTAAAATACAAAATTACCCTCAAATACTTTATTATATTACATGAATACTAATAATATTTATATTTTATCAAAACAACGTATTCTTGTAATCAAGATTAATAATTAGTTACATATAATTATCGTAATTATCATAATAATTGTAAAAAAAATTATTCTCTATTTATATTTTATATGTATATAAAAATACACGAATATTCTTATTATCTCCATAATAAATTATATTTCTTTCATCTACAAAAAAATTATATTTCTTTTACAACTTTTATTTTATATTATTATATAATTTTATATTATTATTATTATTATTTGAAACAATAATTTGTAAATATTATAATAATATTTTAGGAACAAAAATATTTGAGTCAAATAAGTTTAAAAATTATACTGGCGTCATGTACTTTTTTGTCATTATAGCAATAAACAGACCTTTTATTTCCAAACACCAGAACAACTTATAAAAACAAAAAGTAACTTATAAGCTACATATCCAAACACTTTAAAAAATAATTTTTAAAATAAGATCTAACAGCTTATCAGCTCCTAAAACATCTTATCAGATGTAGGAGCTTATAAGATGTTTTAAATAAGCTTAGCCAAACGGGCTCTAAACTTCTCTAACAATTATTTTTTAAATTATTTAGCCACTTAATTACTATTAAATTAAAGATCGTCATTTATTTATTTATTTAGTCTGGCTTATCAAAATGAAAGCAATGCACATGCCAACTGTAATATACCAATGGCATAAGTTTCGTCGTAGGTTTGCAAGTTGTGCCTTAAACGAGCACAGTGGATGCGCTCGTGTAAATTCACACGAGCAGGCCAACGTGTGATTTTTTTCGTTTTTTTTTCCGGATTCGTAATCTACATAACAAGAGGATCGTAAAAACGTAAAAATTATCTCCGATCCGTTGACGATTTGCACGGGCTTTGCGAAAGAAAATCGAAAGGTTGAGAGAGTTTTTGAGTTTTTTTACTTTTTGTTTTTTGAAGAATGGTAAAAAATGTGCCTGAATGTTTAATTTTGGCCTGCACAAATCATTTCAGTTATTCTATTTAACAATTACTATGAGAATTGGAAAACAAGGCTATGATATTTAATTCTTTTTTTGATTTCCATAATCGAGAGATAGAGATCGGAATTGATCGAATCAAAATCGGAATTTTGCGGATACCATAGCAAACATGATCAAGGTGACTACGTCGAAGAAGAAGAAGAATAGATAATGTGCTTTTATTAAAATCGGAAGTCTGAGTTGCGAATAATGTACTTTGTTATTTATAAGTTGTAGAAACACGTACATTTTCTAGTGTATTATTTACAAATATACATATTGGTTAAATGTCAATCCAATCGACTCAATATTTGAAAGTAAGGGATGCAAATCAGAATGAAAATTCTGACTGCCGTCGGATTTGATAGGAAATTTAATTTTTTGGAACGGAATTGTGGAGTTTATTATCAGCATTCGTAAAAATTAAAATTTTGCTAAAGGGGTAATTATGATCCGATTTTTATTTATGAAAACAAAATCATAAAAATATTAAATAGAATTATATCTTAATTCAACAAATTACAAACTAATGACGAGACATCATAGTAATTAAACAAAATATAATCCAACGAATTAAATAGATAGTTTGTCTTTGTCACATCAATTAAGTTATCACTCTTATAATCCATCACCTGGTGAAGGTTTTTCTCTCAGTTCTTGATTTTTTTTAATATCTTCCTATGTTTGGGTCAACCATTTATTTTTTTATTTTTTTATTTTGTTTTTTTGCTTCAATTTTCTTGACCTATTGCCCAATCATACGCCAGTTGCACACATCATATTGCAATTTGGCAAGTCATTATTTAATCAAAGTTGATAGCTAAGTCATGTTCAAATTATTCCTTAGAATATGCTAAATGCATCACCATATTATTAGTCCATTATATTCCTCTTCTTACTTAGGTAAAGCTGTTCCATATAATATATAGAGTAAAAAGCAGTTTGCATCCTAAACTAAGGGTCGATTTGCACTTTACCCCCCAAACAAATTTTTTTAGCACGTTTTTACCTAAACTACGTTTTTCGTTGCACGGTGCCCCCTAAACTCAATTTTCCGGCAATTTTAACCGGAATGTTAAAACATGTGCTTTGCACGTGAGATTTTGAGGGGTAAATTTGTCCCTTCACTTGCATCTTTAATATTAAATACAAATAAATATTAAAAAAAAAAAAAAAAAAAAAAAGAATAAATAAATAAATGAAAAAGAAGCTGTCATCCACATCATTAAAAAAACCAAAAAAAAAAAAAGCCCACACCATCATCATCTCTTCTTCTCGTCTCTATCGTCTCTCCTCTCTTCTTCATCTTCTTCCCTTCTTTTATTTTTCTGAACAAATTTTCTCCAAATGTTCATTAATGGAGAAAACGTTTATACATACTCACCCAAAAGGAAGCCGATTGTAACCTTTAAAACGCGGCCCCTTCATTTCCTAATGGGCTCCTCACGCCGGCATCAATAACCTGACCGCCGGTGAATTCCTCCACTAATACTCCTCACACAATTAATCACCAACAATAATAAATAATAAATACATTTATGTAATTTTCTCGAACAGATAGAATATTTTTATGACAAATTAATTAATAATTAGTAACGGTTAAAAGAGAAGGAAATCTCTGTGCAAGAAATAGAAGAGCAGATTTATTTCATTTTCGTCACACAATTATCACCATTTTCCGGTAAGCTACTGCCGCCAATTCCTCCATCTTCAATCCCACACTACACGCTCAGAGATTTCAGTAATTTCTTCGAAACAGGTAGAATTTGAATTTTGTTTTCATCGTTTTTCGTTTCTATTTTACATATATAAATCCACAATTTTGGGTTTTTGGTAGCAGGAACCGCCCATTTTGGTAATTGGAGTTTGTATGACGAGCGCATCGGAGCTGTTCTACAGCCGGAGGTCTCGATTCGGTCGGAATTCGGATCCTTTCGGTGTCGGGGCGGATTTGGATTCTCCTCCGCCTCCCGATCGGACCAATCGCCGCACTCGCCATTTCAACAGTCCCGGCGGCAGTCACGCTCGCCGCGATTGGCTCGAGCCCGACGGATGCGATCCTTTCCGACGGTCGATTCACCAGCTCAGGCAAACCCCACACCGCCGTCCTTCACATCCACCTCAAGTGAGAATCCTATATTCGGATGTTGAAGGTGAAATCCCTGCTGCAAATTCACCCCAATTTCATCAAATTCATAAATCTTGAAAACTTATATTCGGAAGTTGAAGGTGGAAAGTGGGTTTCAACTAAGGAAGCATTTCTTGTCCAGTTGAGAATACCTATTATTTCTTTGCCAGGTTACTGACTTTAGGAAGACGATGATAATTTCCCTTTTCTCTTTTTTTTTTGTTTATTTCTTTTTAATGATTTATTTATATTTAATATATAGCAGTTAAGTGGATTGACGAATTTACCCCCATAAATCTCACGTGAAACGCACATTATTTAACATTCCGTTCAAAATTGCCGGAAAATTGAGTTTAGGGTGCACCGTGCAACGAAAAACGTAGTTTAGGTAAAAACGTGCAAAAAATTTTTGTTTGGGGGGTAAAGTGCAAAACAGCCCTTAATTTAGGGGGTAAAGTGCTTTTTACTCTAATATATAATTAAGGATTTTGGAGAAAATATAATTAAAATATTGATGGAGTTAAGATGAAATCAAAAGTTTACGAAGTTCGATGCTGAGTCCCGAAATTCCTTTGAAAATATTCATAGAAATATTATTCAACATAGGTAACATTTGTTTGATTATTTATAAAAAGATCACTTTTTTTTTCTCCAAATTTAGCACTATGATTTTAGTGTGCAAAAAAAGAGGAACTTGAGTTGACTTGATAATGGCATTAACGACTTTATGTCAACTGCCGTATAGACGGACCACTGAAACAAATTTTGGAAAAACTTTGTATATATAAATTAAATATTTGCATTTGTCAATCATTTAAATATATATTAGAAAAATAACTAATTAAAAATTATGAATAGCCATCTGTTTTATAATTAAATACTTTCCCCTTGGATGAACGAACCAATGCCAACCTGGTTCATCTTGTTTAATTGCTAAATATTTGTAGTTAAGTTTATTATAATACAGCTAATTTAATTTCAACCCACTAAGATGATGATGAACATCATCATTTGCTAATTGGTCCCCATATTCTTAGAAATATATAAAATCTGTAAGGAAAATACAGTTTTAGTCCCTCACATTAGCACTAATTTCATATTTGATCCATCATGTTCACAAAAAGCACATTTGATCCCTCATGTTTAAAAAATTCAACATTTTTAGTCATTTCCGTCAATTTTCCGTTAAAACTTACGGAATTAAGCCTATGCCCATCAATGATTCAACCGAAATGATAAATTGACGAAAATGAGCAAAAACGTTAAATTATTGAAACATGAGGGACTAAATATGTTTTTTGTGGACATAGGGGACCAACTGTAAAATTGGTGCAAACTTGAGGATGAAAATTATAATTTTCCCAAAATCTGTATGAACTAATTTTTATTTAATGGAAACAAAAAGTATAAAACGTGGGAGCAACTTTGACAACTTTAATATATGAGGTAAATTACGGCCACCCCCGAGGTAACGCCAAATTATGAAAAATCCCCTCATGTTTGGGTAATTACAACCACCCCTTCAACTATGAATCTTCTTACACGTCCACCCTTACGGAGTCAAATTTAGTGGAATCCTCTAGATTATATGGAATATTCTCAAGTTTGTACCCGTTTTATGTCATTCGAACTCCACATTTTAAAGCAAGATGGTCATAAAATTAGTCTATTGGTTTGTAAACATCAGATTGTGGTGCATTAGAAACTGCATTTTTACACAAAACGAATACAAACTAGAGAATATTCCACGGAATCTAGAAGATCATGTTGAATTTGATTCCATAAGGGTGGACGTGTAAGAAGATTTATAGTTGATGGATAGTTGTAATTATCCAAACATGAGGGATTTTTTCATAATTTGAACTTACTTAAGGGGTAGTGGTTGTAATTTACCCTTAACATGTATTAAATAGAATTGTAGCCTTGCATGCGCTTGAAAAGGCAATCGAGAAGGGTAAGAGGGACATTATGGACCATAATGCACGATCCATCGCTTTTCTCCACAAACATCTCACGTGCTTTACTTTCTCTTTGATCTATAAATGCCAATCTTTTTGCCTAAATAGCACTCCACCCCCTCAACTTTTATATTTTTGCTTATTTGCCCAGATGTAACATTTAGGCTTAAATGTGGGCATTATTGAAACACAAATTTTACAGAAAGATGTGAACGAAAAAGGTTGGAAGGCCCAACTGGATAAAACCGGCCTATGTTGCAAGGTGATGGGCTCAATTTTTAAGATTAGTCCAACTCGAGTTAGGCATCAAATTTTTGTGGTTGAATATGTAGGACCTCAGGCGCTACCAGTTGTCCTAAAACTAGGGGTGAAAGTCGGATGGATCGGATCGGAATTAGCCTTTTCGGAAAATTTCCAAAAAAATTCGGAAGTACAAAATCAATTCCAATTCCAATTCCAAAAATTTCGGAATCTAAAAATTCATTCCAATTCCAAAAGGCCCGGAAATTTCGGAATTTCGGAAAAAAATCGGAAATCACATAAGCTTTAAAATTTCAAAACTTAGCCGAAAATTTCTATAATGTTCATAATTTTTCAAAAATAAGAAAATTCACGTCGATAAAAGTAAAACTAATAACTACTAAAATTCAGTTCAAAAAAATAAATAAAAATAAACACAACGTAATATCCAATAAAACTTCAAATAACAATTCATTATGTCAAAATCCAAAAACAAAACTTATAGGTGTATTTTTCGGAAAATAAGTATTATATAATATATATTATTTATAGGTGTATTTTTCGGAAAAAAATCGAATTTTTTCGGAATTAATTTCGTAATTAAATCGGATCGGAAATCGGAAATTCCAAATTTATTTTATATAATTCCAATTCCAATCCAAAAAAATCGGAAAAATTCAGAAATCGGAATTTCGGAAGTCGGAATGAAAAAAGTTGTTCCAAAATCGGAACTTTTCGGATCGGAATCGGCGAAAATTGGAAATTCCGTTCCAACTTGCACCCCTACCTAAAACCAATTGGTGTTAGGAAATGCGCAAACCCTACCCTTATAGTGCATTCAACACACACAAGCGCCCACGGCATTCGATTGTGGGCCGCCCATACCCGGGCCTCCACCACGTGGACAATTGCTGCCAAACCCAGGCTAACAGAATAAATTTTGTTATATACATAATATAATATATATGGTATTTATTTTCTTTACCAAATTGGTGAGAGGTCCACAAAGCAGCCCAAAATATTAGATCGTTATATTTAAGCAAATAAAATTTGGAAATTGGTGGCCCATTTCAAGAAAAGTTGCCTAGTTGAGAGTGACAATTGCATGGTCAAATTCCGAGTTCTACTCAGTAATTAAAGTTTTCGTCCCTATACTTTCGTCAAAATAATTTTAGTCTTCAAATTTTTGTGGCCACAAAATTAGTCGCCAAACTCATTGTTTTTTTGATATTTTTGGTTCGGCTGTTAAGTTGTATGAAACTATCTAGCGGTTAAAAGTTGAGCCGGAACACACCATCAATTTATTTGGCATGTTAAATATGAGGTGGAGTGACACGTCATGCTCTCTCCCCTATTTCTATTACGAAATCTATAATTCCCCACCATTCATAATAAATCGTAAACCCTGCCCCTAATTGAGAATTTTGATGGGAATTTTGGGATTATGTTTGCTAGAGTTTATGAGATTTAGAGAGTGAAAGAAAAAAATGGAATTTAGGTTAGAGAAATTAGGAAGAGTGTGAGGTAGATTGTGAGTGTGTTCCAGCTCGACTTCGACCATCAAATGCACGTCACGCGCGCCGCACGTGACAATTATGTTAAGATTATCTTGAAAACTTGGCAGCCGAACCAAAAGTGTCAAAAAAAGGTGAACTTCTAATTTTGTGGCAATGAAGATTTGACCACTAAAATTGTTTTAGTGGTAAAGTATATGGACGAAACTGTAATTATCCCAAATAACACAAAATACATGTCACGCGGACCATGGCATATAAAGCTTGAGTAATTAGCACTAAATTAATAAGGTTTGTACCCTAATTAGAATGAAGATGGGCGAAGATGATGAGTTAGACTAGATTTTGGGGGTGGAACTGAAATATATTCTAAACTCAAGTACTCGAAAAGAATCTGCAGCAAGTTCAGTACCCCATTAGTAAATTAAAACAACTCATATATATTTTTTTACAACAATATAGTTGTCATGTTGCCTTGATAATTAAGCTTTCATTAGCAATAATTTTTGCTCCTTTCCTGTGATTAGTTATGATTGATTAGGTAGTCAGCCAGTGGCAGATCCAGGACGAAAATTCAGGGTATGCCGAGTCCAAGAATTTACTGTATATTGGGGTTAAATTTTTTGGGGTTCGGGGGCAGCGCCCCCGGAAAAAAAAATTGAACCTTTTTTTGTTGGATAAATTAGGAGAAGGGAAATAAAATTGAAACTTTTTGTTTTTTTTGGATAAATTAGGAGAAGAAAAAATTTGGGACTTTTTTTTGTATATTTTGAATTTTGGGTGGACTAAATAATAATATAGATATAATATAATGTGTTTTTGGGGAGAGGGGCTAAAAAAACAAGAAAAAATTTAGGACTTTTTTTGTATATTTTGAATTTTGGGTGGACTAAATAATAATATAGATATAATATAATGTGTTTTTGGGGAGAGGGGCTAAAAAAAAAAAAAAAGTTAGGACTTTTTTTGTATATTTTGAATTTTGGGTGGACTAAATAGTAATATAGATATACTATAATGTGTTTATGGGAGAGGGGCTCAAAAGAAATTTAGACAAAAAAATTAAACAATACTTGTTTGTATCATAATGGAGTCGAACACTCATGACCTCATCTAACAACTTGGAGATCTTTACCACTAAGGCAAATTTATTTTCGTTATTTGGGGTGGTCCATGGCATACTTGGCCACCCCCTAGATCCGCCCCTGTAGTCAGTCCTGTACTGTGTATATAATGTCTTAAAAAAATATAATCCAAATAATAATAATAATAAATTAAAAAAAAAATCAGACATATGATTGGATACATCATATGTTTGTTGTCTAGTGCCACCAAGTTTAATCTGTAATAATAATTAAATGATGAGAATCACTTAGAAAAACACATATAACTATATAAGTAATAATATAACATACATCAATAATATACTTATAATATATCACATAAAATTGATCATGAAACGCATAATAAATATATAATCAATTATTTTTCAAATATTAATGTCATAACTGATGAGCATCGACAGCTCGATTAGTTACAACTTTGGCCGAGTCGTCGTCGATGCTTTTAGTCCGGTTCAGGCTCGGGAGTCGGTGCAGCCTGCATCGGAACGAGCCTACGTGGGTCGTCGGAGAGCATAGGCAGTTATGCTTAGTCATACTTCCTTGCCTAGTCAGCACTTGACCTTCTGCCGGAATTTCAACCTTCATATTACCTTTGTTGATATTGATCACTCCTTCTTTTTCCATATTTTTTTTCCTGAAATAATTATTAATTATCAAACAGTTGATATATTTTCAGACAGAAGAGAAAGTGAATGAATGGTTGAGGTTTGTAGTACCTTATGAAGAGGTGAATAATTATTTATTTATTTATTTGTTTTTATTTTTTATTTAATTGAGTTGGTCATAAATAAGGATATAAAGATAGAGGAGTGGGACTATAAAGGGATATATATGAATTATTTGTGCTCAAAAGATAAGAAAAGGTGGTGGGCATTAAAATATGTGTATTTGTATTATGTACACTTCTCTCTCAATATGTCTATTAGAAATATTAATATTAAATAATTTTAAAATATTTTATATATATATACATGCATGCGAAAGATTTATTGGAGATACTAATTTCAAATAATTCATATCAGTGGCGTCTTAAACTTTTAGACGAAGTCGTCATTATATAAAAATATTGCTTATATATTTTTATTTTAAAATAAACAATTAATAGTAAGATTGTGTACGATAACGTGTATAATTTTATTACAAACAATATTATTATTATTATTAGGTTAAATTACGGTCACCCCTGAAGTAGGGTCAAATTATGAAAACTTCCCTTATGTATGGGACTTACATCTACCGCTCAACTATGTATCTTCTTATATATGCACTCTTGCGGTGTAAAATTTAATGGAAACTTCTAAATTATGTGGAATATTCTTCAGTTTGTATCCTTTTTAACCATTTGAGCTCCACATTTTTTGAAACAAGATGACCATAAGATGTGTCTCTTAGCTTGTAAACATTAGATTGTGGTGCATCAAAAACTGCATCTTTACACATAACGAGTACAAACTAGAGAACATTATACGGTAATCTAGAAAATTATGTTCAATTTGGCACCATGAGAGTTGACGTGTAAGAAGATTCACAATTGAGTAGATGGTAGTAATTATCCAAACATGAGGGGAATTTTCGTAATTTGACCCTATATCAGGGGTGGCCGTAATATACCGCGTTATTATTATATTTATCTATATGTTTAATTTATTTGTTTCACATGTATGAAAAATGGAGTATCAAATTTGTATTGACGCCCACCACAAGAAATCCATCCCTTTTTGTAAGGCTCCAACTACTCTAGTATATACACATCCTAAAGAAAAACAAAAGAAAATCAACAAGAATCCCATTGGGATTTTTGCTTTTTTATGTATTTATTTATTCAAATTATTTATTATTTATATTTACTTGTGTTGGATTAATCATGAGAATAATACATGCCAATGGAATCACTTTTTATGTGAGGGCCCCACCTCAATATATACAATATCCCATACCTAATTAATCCTAATATATATTGTGGAAGACAAATTGTATTGTTTGTTGAGTGTCACATTTAGCTTCTTATCACGATGCATTGTATTTTTGTGTGGCAATTTCTCTGCCTTAAGATCATATTCATCATCTATAGTGGAAGATAAGGTGGCATTTTATATATTATTACATATATATATATCTTGTTTTGGATAGGATGAAAACAAGACATTTGATTAAGAATGATGTAACAATTAATAGAACCCTCCTAATATTATTGAATTATTTACTAACTTATTATAAAATATTTGATTTTGCGCTCTATTCTTCCACCAACTAGGTTATCCCTTTCGATTTGATAATTTTTTTTTTATTATTCTTTTTCAGGTAATGAAGGAACTTGCAGCCAACCATACACAGGGTATACCTACACTCTCGTATAATAGTTTCCAAATCATACGAGAGACGTAAACTACACTAGACTAACTATGTGTGACAAATTCGACCTAACGACCGTTGACAATGGGATTCGAACTGATAATATTTATTTTGGATAAAGGTTAGGTGGTCCTTATTTGAAAAAAAAAATATATATATATATATATGATATGCAGAAAATTATTGAATCGGCTCTCAATTTGGACCCCTTAAATTGGGCTTATTGGATTTGAACAATGATTTTAATGGGCTTATTATATCAATTAACTAATTGGGCTTTGGCCACTCGATTGGGTCAATCCAACCCAACACATTTTTCTTATATGTCGAAATTCCAATTTCTTTTTTGGAAACAATTACTTCTGACTATTGAAATTTTAAAAACAAATCATATGAGAATATAAAAGTACGTACTTAATCATACAGAAAATTAAATGTTTATCATATGATCCATTTCGAATCTTTTCGATATATCTTGAAGCATTTGTCCATCGATCAATAATGTGAATGTGTGCTGGTCAAAATCGGAAATATTCAAATCGAAATCGGGAATACTCTTCTCCCCCGGCCCAGAATAATCAACCCTAATTAATTGCCAAATAAGATGACATTTAAAACAGAAAATACAATTAATGACGTCATTTTAATTCTGAACCACAATATTGAATAATAATATTATACTGACAAAAGACATCCTTAATTAGCTTAATTAATGCACTAACATAATCCTGCAATCAAATGTAAGAGAAATCTAATTAATAATTAATTAATCATTACACATTCCTAGAAGTTCATGCATTCTGTCAAAACCCTTAAAAATCATTATCAATAATACCGAAGAAATCCCTAGTGTAATTCAACCGTGGAGCAACTATTTGACAATAATTATCAGTAGAAAGACAGCTAGTTTTCACTTCCGCCAACGCCGCCACCGGAGGAGGAGGAGCAAACGAATCCGCCGGCGGCGCCGCCTTGGAGTAACCAGGGAAAAACCCATTTAAGACTTCTTGCAGCAAGCCTGAGTTCGACCTCTCAGTGTGGAAGAAACCCATGCAATCAGTTTCACCGCCGGTGGAACTTGAAACACCATTTGTGAAGACCTCGGAAACTCCGGCGGCGGCGTTCATCGGAGTGGCCGGCTGAGCAGTGGTTGTGTTGCATGAAGGATTAATATACATCGAAGAAGAAGAAGAAGACCCCATAAAAGAACATGTAGTAATGTCGAGAGAATTATTGCTTTTCATCAAGGAAGATACAGTGAAATCAAGATTAGGGTTTGCTGCAAAAGGTGAAGACGACGGTGCCACGTGGCGGGTGCCGAAGATGGACGGCTGGGATGATTTGCCGTAGCTGAATGAAGGGACGAGATTTTGATCTGTTGTAGCAGGGTGGTTGGTGCTCATAGGGTAGAGAAAATTAGTTCTGGCCTTGGCGCCGCGCATAGCACGGGCTGCGGTGTCGTAAGCGCACGCCGCCTCCTCGGCGGTGTCGAAGGTGCCCAGCCACCGCCTCTCTTTGGAGTTAGGATCTCTGATCTCCGCCGCGTACCGCCCCCATGGACGGCGGCGCACACCTCGGTATCTGATTCCGCCGCCGGAGGGTGGCGGTGGTGGGTCTTCTTTCTTCAGGGGCCTCTTGTTGGTGGTGGTGTAGCACCGCTTTGTTGCGGCGGTGGTGGGATGATCTGCGATGGAAGTGCGGTGGTTGTGCGTCCTTCTGATGAGAGCTTGTTCCATTGTTGGTTCAGATTAATTATAAGAGAAATTATTACAGTGGAAGATTTGTTTTTTAACCTGAAAGTGTGTAATATAGTGTGAAGAATGTCGAGTATATATATATATATATAGAAAAAATAAATAAAATTGTAATAGAAAAATTAAATAAAAATTATACAATATATATATATATATATATATATATATATATATATATATATATATATATATATATATATATATATATATATATATATATATATATATATATATATATATATATATATATATATATATATATATATATATATATATATATATATATATATATATATATATAT